AAAAACTTAAAAGCAATTTACGGTAGCTTAATGCTTCCACCATTCTAGAAGATTACTTAGTTCTTGTGGTTCGTGGAGTGCATACACATGTTATGGCTACTGTGACGAGTGGTTCAAGCTTCCCCTATTCCCGTGACTGTCCAGTGTGAGAGCTCTCTCTTTGGCTGACAACCCTGCATGGGAGCGGAGATTCAGGGTATTTTCCAGCGCTGGCTCCCTCTACTTCTGCATCGCGCTGTCCACGTGCGATGTGATCCAAGCAAGCCACTGGCACCTCATGGGCGAGCTTCCTGCGAGCAGCGAGAGAACAGGGAGGGGAAGTGCTTGGCTGCGCTCTGTGGCTCCTTGGTTGCCGGGTATGTGTGCACTGGTAGCTTCGAGCTCTTTGCCTGGGACGCAGCCGACAGGAGGTGGAGCTTCTGCCACGGACAGGAGACAGGGTCGACTCGCGGGATTCTTGTGTTTGAGCAGGACCATCTCCTCCTCTCTCTGCTCTCGACTGCCTGCCTGCGCCTTGTTCCATACACGAGGACGCAGCGAGGCGATCGACGCTCTTTGTCTACGATGGCTCCAATGGAATTGGAGTTGGACGGGTTGAGGCTCGAGCCGAGGAGTGAGAACCAGGTCGAACTCAGGAAGCAGTGGCGTTCCAGGTTTACAGCGGGATTGCTGGTAGGGTGTCCAACTTTGGAAACGACCTCACCACCCAGCTACTCCACTTGTTGCGCGGTGGAGTTGTGACGGAGCGCAAGTGCCCGGTGTCTAAAGTTGGTGTTGGAGGGTGTTTACGGTGACCTGGAGGTGGATGACATGCCGTACGAGTCTCGACTTTGCCAAGCTGATCGTCTCACCTACAAGTTACTCTCGACGTAACTCTCCAGGTAAGAGGCTATACTCTCTTTTGTCACCAAATGTCTTGGATTGTGGTTGTTTCAACAATCTGAGCTGCTGGAGTCAAGCGGCTGCGAATGATCAGAGAACAACATAGATCACGAGGAAAAAAATCTGTGTTCTGCGCTAGCTACATTACTCTTGACTTGCAGAAGCTGAAACCTTATGTGCTAGCATCTTGCACTGTAACCTGCACACATGTACTTTAGTTTTCATTTTTCCATCAATTTAAATCATCAATCAGCTTCATTTCACCATTAGATTTTTCCAGGGCTGATGGTCGTGGACTTTGAATTTAAAGCACTTTGCTGCATTGTTAGGACAACTCGACGTGCCTTTTATGAAGATGCTATCGAATGGAGGCAAGCTTCCAAGAAGTGGGACTTGAAAGTAGGGAACGCTGCCTTTTGCAAACAACAAGATTTGATTGAGAGACTTTTATACATTCATTTCACCAAATTAATTTCGTTTGCGCTTCTTATTCTTGCTCATACAGGGGAGCTTTTGGAAAGCAAAGACGCAATACAGGGGGAAAACCTCTGCCTCCGCGGCTGTGAGCCCGCCAACCTTCCTGCCCAGTTTGCCAGCAAATTCTTGGTACATGACCAGCTCCAGACCATACTCCCTTGCAAGCTTCTCCCACGCATCAAAAACACAAGGTACTCAGGGCAGTCATTGACCATGCCCTCCAGTGCAAAGTCGTATTCGTTGCCAAACACCAGCTCCTTGTTCACGGGTTTCTTCAAGCTGCACACTGTTGGACACCGTCGTGTTGCCCACCCTCTTTAGCTTGTCCAAAACCACCCGCGAGTCCACGGTGGTGCCTACAAACCATCCGCCCGGCTTTAGCGACGACGAGATGTTGTACAGGGCTGTACGTGCGGTAGCCTCGTTGGATGCAGCGTAATGTATTGCAAGCTGGCAGCTGCAAGCGTCATACGGTTCCTCCGCTGTGACATCTTGAGGCAAACGTGACGAGAAACAATCGTACTCCACAAACAGGCTTGAGCTCTCGCCTCGGCCTCCCTGATTCTTTCATGGAGAAGTCCACTCCCACGTATTTGTGCACTCTTAGTCCATCCAGCTTGAAGATGTCGCCTCGTCTACCGCAAGCCAGATCCAAGACCCGACCACCACCGCCACCAATAAACTCTGACAAAAGACACTGTTTTACTGCATTGTCAAGCTCTTGAAGGCGAATCACGCGACTCTTTGTGCGCTCGTCCCTTGTCTCCCTTGCCACCCGATTATAGGGCTCGTAGACGGACGAAATGACCTCACAAGAGTACACTGCTGCTGTTGCTGCTGCTACTGCTACTGGACGCGGCGCTGGCGCCAATGCTAGCTGAGATCGCAAAGCGGATGAATTCGCTGCGGCGGGCGACGCGATCGACATCGCTGGGATCTCCAAGGGAACAAACCTTTTTCTCCCAACGGCTGAGATCAAAGATTCTGTTAGATTCTTTGATCTCAGTGCATTATCGATCTGGTTCACCTCCATTCGAATTCATATTTTCCATGCATCGCATCACTTTGGACTATAGACTTCTTCACAAAAACTGGAATCTCGGTCAATGTGAAAAGATATAGCTTCCACTTGATCCTTTGTTACTTATAATAAGCTCTCCACTGACGTGTTCTGTAAAAAGCTTGCCAGACATTTTTCTCCAAGATTAATTTGCCTTTACAGGGCACCGAAATTGTTGGTTTTTGTCACAAAACCAACAAGTTGTTGTGGATTAACCTCCAAAGGTTTTCTTTGGTTGATTAAACAATTTCTAAGTTGTTTAGTTCACTTGATTAATATATTGGTCTTTTTTTGTTATGAATCGAATTGACACAAAAACTGGAATTAAACTAGCTGATTTGTTAAATAGTTTAGGGCTGGCCTTTAATTTGTAAGACATAGGGGTGGTATACTTAAGACATTTTTTAAAAAAATTGCTTATTACCTTGTACACTTTTTGATTCACAGAACTATTTAGCCTGAACTAATAGTCCAAAAAATATAAAGCACCCCTTGGGAGGTTCTTCTTCGTCCACAGTCCGTCCCTCTCGCGCCTTCCACTGTCTCCTTATTTCATAAAGTAACTTCTTCCACACGATTTTCTCAAATTAAGTGTTTAAATATCAAATATAAGTTTTGATGGTTATCCTATATGTGCAAAATATGTGTAAATATGGGTCTATTAGACTTCCAAGGAAGCATTGATGCCTGCCACATACTTCCATGCCAGAAATTGGTAATGCTGTGGCACAATTTAATCTTGTTGACTACAATGTTTTAGGTCTTTTCTTAGATTCTTTGAGAAGATGCAACTTCCAGTAATGGTGAGGGCGTATGGGTGTTCAGGACTTGATGATGACACAAAAGCCCTGTTGGAGACCATCCGGAGCAGAATGTGATGCCATGATTGCATATTACCTGCAAAATGGGCACCTTTTCGGCTGAAAGGCCTCAAAGCCGACCAGATCTCTATTTCTGGGATTTAGTCACTGTGGATGGAACGTCCAAGTGCTGCAAAGACACCAAATGGCATTTGATGAACAGGTCTTTCACCTCACCAAGATGTACTAAGCTAAAATCCATCGATACACTTTTGTGTTGAAGAATTAAAGAAGTTCTTTGCAAATATGCCAGAGCTTACTGAACTGCCATGGTTTTTGTCTACGCCCAGAATGGCCACCTCAAGCAAGCTCTTGGGAATTTGAATCCATGGTCACTTGGAACTCGCTCCTCGTGGTTTTTTCTCGTCTTAAAACCTGAGCTTGTGTTGGCCAAAAAGGACTCTGTGGAGTGGAACACCATGCTTGCTGCAAAGAGTCTGTTCGATTGATTACCAGAGCTAAACCTTGTTTCTTGGAATGGAGGCGAGTGTTGATTATATTTTATGCTTTAAATTTTATTTTGACAAGGATATTAAGTGGACTTATTCTTGATTTTGTCATATCTTTTATTAGCTAATAACTTTATTATTTGACAATACTTTATAAAAAAAAATAATGGAGATGCGCGACTGAGTGGCTTTTCCTCAAACACTGTCATCTGAGCGATGCGGCAAAGAGAGTGATCGTCTCTAATTGTTAAGAGTCATGTTCACTTAGTTGTGGTTGAGTCTTAAGAGTAGGTACAACTAAATCGATCGAACAAACTCTTGGCCTGGAAGAATCCCCGACACTTTGCATAAGCCGCAAGCATGGTGGACTCCGAAATCCAAGAGCTTGCCCGAGGTGGCATTATGGGCGTAGTATAAGTAAGCTCTGGCATATTTGCAAAGAACTGGCTAGCTTCTTAATTCCGCGTACGCGCGTTGCGTGTAGCATGCTCGGCGATGAGACCAGGTCACCAAATGGCATTCGAATTGAACAGGCCCTTTGCCTCTTCCTTATGAAGAATCCAGTCAACACAACATGGAGTTCCAAGTTCCAAGCCATGGTTTGGCATCGCATCGAAGATTCTCTTTGACTCGCGAAGATGCCCGTTTTGACGCTTGCAAAAACTTCTTTTGCTTCGTCCAATCCCCCCCCCCCAGTCAACAAAATATTCCACAAGATTAACTTGTGCTTTGGCATGTCAATATGAATATGTTCTTTGTCTTGTGCCAGTGATAATTTACTCTACTAGTGAATTCCTAGATTTTCGAAGGGAATGCTCGCAGTTAAATTCCTGGCATCCTTTTCTCGTCCAGCCCTGTCCAGCAGATCCACCATGCAGCAGTATTGTTGCAACACTGGCTCCAATCCATCATCACTTTGCATCGAAAGGAAGCATCTTAGAGCGTCTTCCATCTTTCCGCCGTGACTAAATCCCAGAAACAAGCACGTAAAAGAGATCTGGTCGGATTTGAGTCCTTGCAGCCGCATTGCTTGAAAGAGCTCGCTTGCCAGGTCACGCCTCCCACCTTGACTATATCCTGCCAGCATGGCATTCCACGGCACCACGTCATGCTCGGGCATCTCGTCCAAAACTCTCCTGGCCTTGTCAAGAAGCCCATTTTGTGCGTAACAAGCAAGCATAGCGGTACAAGGCATCACATTCCGTTCCGGAATGCTCTCCAACAGGGCTTTCGCGTAATCAAGAAATCCCGACCGTCCATACGCGCTCACCATTACTGTCCAGGAGGCTCCTCCATCGTCTCAAAGAGCTTCTTCGCTGAATCCAGAAGCCCCAGCTGAGTAAACACCTCAAGCATCGTAGTCGACGAGATTAAATCGTGTCGCGGCATCGAGTCATAGATTTGAGACGCACGCTGGAAATCTCCGGCCTGGAAGTACGCGGCAAGCATCGTGTTCCAAGAAGCCATGCTCCATTCGGGCATCTTCCAAAAGCATCTCTCAAACTCCAGCAGATTCCCGCTGTGGGCATATGCTGCAAGCATCGCGTTCCAGGTTACTAGATCCCTCCGCGGCATTGCCGTAAATACTTGCCACGCGTCTTCCGAGGCATTGTTCTGAGAATATCCACACAGCAAGGCCGTATAGCTCACCATGTCCCACTCGGGCATGCCACCAAACAGATTCTTCGCCAAGCCCATTTGCCCAGCCTGGGCATACCCTGTCAGCATGCTCGTCCACATCAGCATGTCCCTGTACGGCACGATTCTAAAAATTTCGGTGGCTCGCGCCAGTTGGCCATTTTCAGCATATGCCGCCAGCATGGCACCGTACGACACGATATCTTTGTCGGGCATCCTTTGAAAGAGTTCTTGGGCTTCCTCCAGATCCCTAGTTTGGGCATATGCCGAGATCATGATGTTCCACGCGGTCTGGTCTCTCTCAGGCATTCGATCGAAGAGCTCTTGCGCTTGGATCAAACATCCATTCTGCACATACGCCGTGATCATTAAGGACCAGGAGAAGCGATTCTTGGGTCGGATTCCATCGAAGACGGCCCTCGCGCGATCGGGGCAACCGCATTTCCCATACATCTGGACCAGCAGATTGGAGAGATAGACGCCGAGATGCACTCGATCGCACAGCGAGGAATGCAGCGCTACCGCTTCCGCGAGGCCCCGGCACGATCGAATCAGCTCCTGGGCGTGGAGATCACTCATGAATCAATGGGGACTAGAGTTCTAGGGTTCTTCCTCCTAGGGTTTCTTGTGATCTGGGCGGGCTGGATCGGAGGTGAAATTCTTTCATGTATCGATGGTGATGGCAGCGGCGGGGCTGCTCGCGGCCAGCATTGTGGTGTTCGCGCCGCTCGCCATGGCGGGCTGGCACATCACACGCAACAGGGTCCTCTTCTTCAGCACCATCATCTTCATCATCCTCGCCGCCGCCGTCCACATTCTTCCCTACGCGCCATCCCTCTCGCGCCTCGTCTCCTCCTTCCACTCCACCATCTCCTCGCTCGTCCTCTCGTCCTCCTCTTCATCTTCTTCCAATCTCGGCTGCCTCCACTCCCTCTACGCCATCAATTTCTTCGACGATAGCGACGACGAGGAGAAGATCCGCTGGGCCTGGACGAGGAAGAGATCCGCCGCCATCTCTGCCTGCAAGTTCCGAGAGCTCCACAGGGAGGAGGCGCTCGAGTTCCTGTCCGGGACGTGGATTGTCGTGGCTGGCGACTCCCAAGCTCGGTACTTCCTTCTCTCGCTGCTGGAGCTCCTCCTGGAGGATCCGGCGCCAGTGAGATCCCAGCTCTTCAAGTTCCACAGCGACTTCTCCCACACCCTGGAAGACGAGCACCTCAGAGTGGATTTCTTCTGGGCTCCATACGCCGCCAACTTAACCAGCAAGCTTCTCGAGCTCCAGCATTCCGGGAATGGATCAGGATCAAGCGCGCGCTCTCGCTCTCCGGACGTGATCATCGCGGGAGCCGGGCTGTGGCACATGTTGCACGTCTCGGATCCATCCGACTACGGCGCCAGCTTGAGAGATTTGGCGGCGGCTGCTCGATCGCTACGCGCGCCACACTTGTTCTGGCTGAATCTTCCGGTGCTGGTGCCCGGGCTTCTCAACACCGCGGCCAAGCGCGAGAAGATGACGGCGCCATTGCTGTCTCGCTACGACGAGGAGCTGGGCAGGAGCAATCTCACGCTCCCCGGCGGGGATTTCAGGGTGTTGGACGTGAAGGAGGTGAGCTCCTTGTGTGGGAGAGGGTGTACGGGCGATGGCATGCACTACGCGAGTGCTGTGTACGGCGCCCTTGTCCAGATAATGCTCCAGACACTTGTGTTGATCAGAACATCTTCGTGATCAAGATACAAACGATTTTTTTCCACTATTCTTTGGATCAATGTGGGGCCTGAAAACTTACAATGAGGATCTCGTAAGAAACTTGTGGCAATCCATCGACACTGTGGTTTCTTGCTGCTCCATCACTGCGATTCCCTCCTGTTTGCAAAGGAAAGATTCGCAAGGGAAATCAGAGCATCTTGAATGGAATATCTGTTTCTTTGACCCCACGTTTGAAACAGGGGGCCACATTGACTTCAACCGTGGTTGAAGTCGGCTATTAGAGTCTAGTGCGCCTCGGAACGAAGCCTCGTGCAGTTGACATTTGACAATCGCTGCTGTAAATGTTTGTGGCTTGCAGCCGTGTTTTTGACTTTTGCTCAAGATCATCAAGGTCAACTGTTTGAGTTTGGTGCCACAGCAAACAAAAGTGCGATCCAACAACACCAGATCAATCCGTCTTGCGCGGAAAGGAAAAAGAAGATGCAAATCACGTCTCAACCAACATGGTCGGTGTCGTCGACCAAAACCACCGACGGCCAACTTGCCGGCCAGCCAATTAGGGTTCATCAACCCATGCGACAATTGTCACGCCCAAATGCCATCTTCCACTATTCTCTTGTTTGCTTACCAAGATTTTCTTGCATTTGGACTGGCTTTGCTTGTCCGGGCCTTCTCCATTTTCCTGCTGGAGTTTTGCGCTCCCGTCTTCCACGTAGTGCCTAAACCATCCATTACATTAAAATAATCCCGTCATGCAGGCTAACCACGCATCGCATTAGAATAATCCCGTCATGGAACGCCTCCACGTTGTGGCTAACCACGCATTACATTATAATAATCCCGGGGCATTGTTAAGCACGTCGAGCTACTAAACGAGCGTATCCATACACAACGTGAGCGCACGCCTTCCAACACGTGGTTTATGCGCGGGTTATGCTAATTTTAATCGATCGTGCCTCCAAACGTTACCATTTGGACGCCGCTCCAGGGCGTGTTGGAATTGGCCAAATCTGGGCGGGCCACAATTCGCAAGCCCGGCCCTCCACGCGATGTAGAGCAAACAGTGAATGGGACCTGGCCCAAATTTCATGCCATGTCGCACATAGCCGACCTTAGCGAGCGCCAGCCGTCGGATCGACGTGGGCGCGGTAAATCGCCACCGCCGCTGGGAAGGATCCCAGCCGTCAATCGCCGCTCTATTCAACGTATGGGAGGGAGGCTCATTTATATAGAGAGGGCTTTCTCTCTTTTGCCCATTTCAAATATTTCCCAAGAGGAAGAGGGCCGCCGCCACACGCGCTGCCGCGCAGATTGCTAGCTCTCCTCTGGAGTGAATCGATGTTCTAGCCGCTAGAATCGATCGATCGAGGTACATTTGGTCGCAGGGATTTCTCTAGATTGCGCAGAGGTAGGGTTCTAAGCAAAGCAAGATCGATGATGCAACGGAAGCCATCGCCGTTTAGCAAGAGAAGGCGGCTGGTCATGGCGCTGATGCCGCCTCCTCCCAGTCCCAGCGCGCTCAGCCTCGTCAAGGAGCTCTATAATCTCGCGCAAGAGGTCGGGTTCTACGAGCGGCCGAGGATGATCCAGCAGCGCAATCAGTCCAACATCGTGCGCCGGATCAAGCTCCTCGGCCCTCTGTTCGAGGAGATCAAGGACTGCCATCCAACGCTGCCGCCCTCCGCGGTGTTGGCCTTCCGGGAGCTCCATCTCACGATCCAGAGGGCAAAATTGCTCCTTGACGAGTGCAGGGAAGGAAGCCGGCTATGGTTGCTCATGCAAACACGAAGGGTGTCGGAGCAATTCTACGAGCTCACGCAGGAGATCGCGTCGGAGCTATCCGGGCTCCCTCTTGATCTCTTGGAGATCTCCGTGGAGGTGAAGGAACAGGTGGAGCTGCTTAGATTGCAGTCCAAGCGATCGACGCCCATCTACGAGGCGTCCGACGAGAAGATGCGTGCCGAGGTGTTGGGCATGCTGAGTGAAGTGGAGAGGAAGGAAACGCCCGACGAGCTCAGAGTGAGGAGCTTCTTCGAGAGCCTCCAGATCGACATATGCTCCGAGCTCCAAAGGGAGCTCTATCTTTTGGAGGAGGAGATGGAGAGCTTGGCCACGGGTGGCGACATGGCAGCGCTCATCAGCATCAAGAACTTGATCAGCTTTGGGCGTTACTGCAAGTGCGTGCTCTTCGGCGTGTGCATAGAAGAGACTCTCGAAGTGGAGGCCACCACTGTGGAGGCCAGCAACGACGCAGCGGTACAAGCGACCGGATCCGACGTCCCGGACGAATTCAAATGCCCGATAAGTCTGGAGCTGATGCAAGACCCGGTGATCATCTCGTCAGGCCAGACTTACGACCGCGTATCCATCCAGAGGTGGATCGACTCCGGCCACTCGACGTGCCCGAAGAGCGGACAGAAGCTAGCGCACGTCAACGTGATTCCGAATCACGCGCTGAGGAGTCTGATCCGGCAGTGGTGCGAGGATCACAAAGTTCCATACAACTCCCACGCCAGCGGCAACAAGCCAACGCTCTCGGTGGACAATCTCGTGACCACACGAGCTGCTCTGGAAGCTACAAAGCTCACGGCAGCTTTTCTGGTTGGCAAGCTTGCGTCAGGCCCGCCAGAGGTCCAAAAGCAAGTGGCATACGAGCTCAGGCTGCTGGCCAAATGTGGAACGGACAACCGGGTTTGCATCGCCGAGGCAGGAGCGATCCCGTTCTTGGTGCCGCTGCTTTCATCGCGAGACGCAAAGACTCAAGAGAACGCGATCACGGCCATCCTCAACTTGTCCATCTGCGACGCCAACAAGAAGCTCATCGTCTCGGCCGGGGCAGTCGATCCGATCCTGGCGGTGCTTAAGTCAGGCAGCACAGTGGAGTCTCGAGAGAATGCCGCGGCGACGCTGTTCAGCCTGTCCGTGGTGGACGAGTACAAGGTCCTGATCGGCAGCAAGAGCGAAACTTTCACGTCTCTCATCGCGCTGCTGCGAGAAGGGAGCAGCGCGCGTGGGAAGCGCGATGCCGCGACCGCGCTCTTCAACTTGGCAGTTTACCACGGCAACAAAGGCAGGATCATCGCGGCTGGCGCGGTGCCTTTGCTAGTGGAGCTACTCACCGAGGACGCGGACATCACCGACGACGCGCTGGCGGTGTTAGCTCTACTGGCCAGCTCCTCCGAGGGACTCCTGGCACTGAGTGGAACAGGGGCGATTCCTCTGCTGGTGGGACTGCTGAGAATGGGATCGTCCAAAGGGAAGGAGAACTCCACCGCGGTTCTCCTGGCGCTGTGCCGGAGTGGCAGTGACACCATCGTCAACCAGCTGCTCAAGATCTCGGCCACCGTCCCGGCGCTCTACAATCTCATCACGGTTGGGACGCCGCGAGCTAAGAGGAAGGCGAGCTCGCTGCTGAGGATCCTCCACAGATCGGAGAGGAGCTTTAGCACCGCGCTGGGTGGCGTGACTACCGTCCAGTTGCGGCATTGAGCGTTCGATCTCTCGAGAAATCGGGAAGAAAAGTTGCGGGAAGAAAAGTTTCGAGAAGATAAGTTTGTAAGCTGTGGACACGGGGGAACAACAAATTTGTACATAGATGATTCTTTTCTCCCCACTAAAAAAAAAAGAGATTCTTTGCTATGGTCCCTCCATAACGTCAAAGTTTTTTTGTCTTCCATGGTTGTGGTGGATCAATCCCATCGATCGTACATTTTGGGTTTACTTGTGCTCCATGACGATGGCCGCCACCACCTTTTGGTTGCACGCTTGTTGGATTGGATTGAGCCATCGGAGCGAACGTTCGCGCGAACGAGCTTTTTACTTTTGCGGTCAAGAACACGTTTCGTTGCTTCGTCCAATTCGTAGTGAAGTGAAATTCTCTCTGGAAACTTGGCACTGTGTTTCCAGCTATGGCCGATTCTTCGGCTATAGCGCCACTCCACGAAAGAGTCGTGATTACATCATTGAAGCTTAGGACAGAGACCGTAGTGTCTGGTGATTCGGCAAACTCTAACAAAAAAGAATAGAAGTATGTATTTCCACGTAAAAAGCTGTGACTTCATGCAACGCCGACTGGCCAACGTCAATTGAACTGTTTCCTCCTTTTCTTGACTTTGCAAACTTTCGTATTCTCCATCACTTGCATGGCCGGTGGATTTAATTCCACGTAGAATACCTCTCTTATTTCACAAAAAAAAAAAAAGGAAGAGTTGCGCAGCGAAAACACCTCACGTTCTTTGCGGCGGCCAGACGATGAGAAAAAGCTGGCAGTCAGAAATAAAAAGAAATAAACGTAGCACCTCTTCCGGCGGTGGTGGATCCTCGTCTATTGCACGGCCATAACTCTCCTCTTGACTTTCCTCTTTGCGAAGATATCCTTCTTGGCATCGAGCAAACCGGACATGGAGAAGCCGTTCTTGAGGGACTCCATGGACGGGAGAGAAGGCCGGCGGTACGCTTTCCCATCTCGGGCCTTCTTCGCGTCGGAATCCAAACCGAGGAGAGCTACTCGACTGGCATCGCCTACGCGAATCGACAGCAGCCTATACAAAAAAAAAACAAAGTTGAATTTCCACTCACAAACCATGCTTTTGTGCGTACCTCAAAGCGGAGCTGCAAAGGATCACAACGCCCAGGTGATTGAGATGCTCTTGCATCGCGCGTTCCGCTCCGTAGACCAGCTGGTATCTAAAGTTTCCGGATAAGCCAAGGAAAGCACCATAGCCGAGAGCACTTGTTTGGACCGAAGGCAAAGGCACCGAAGACTCGTCGCTCGCACCACTACAGACAGGCCAGCCAATGATATGTACATCAGAACCAAACATAAAAGTCTTGGAAACCATACCGCTGCTTTCTCAAAGTAATGCAAGCCTTTGACAATCCCGCTCCAGCAGCTCCAAGGAACGCACCCAAAAAGCCAAGCACACCTGCCTTGTAGAAAAAGCTGCAGAGCCTCTGCCCCATGTTGTAATTCCGCATGGAGTAGCTCTTGTCGAAGATGTTGTTGGGAAGCTTCTGTAGAACGTTCTGAAACTCGTACTTGAAGGTTGAGCCGTAGGACCTTGTCGGCGCGAGCGACCAAACAACGGCTAAGTTACAAGCCGCGAGAGTGAGGACGTTGCATAGAGCCAAATCCCACTCGTCCTTGATCCTGTGCACAAAAATTGATTCAATCAAACATACACAGAAAAAGAAGAAGAGCGACGAGCTCACCTTTCACCCCGACGCTGGTACTCCCACCAACATCCGTAACCAATGGTAGCGAGTTGCTCCAAGCATATTTTGTAAGGATACCAGCTTGGATCTGCAAGCATTCTGTCAAAAACCAAGACAACAGGCTCAGAAAAACAAAGTTCAGAGAGAAAGAAATGGTAAGTTACAACCTTGGAAGCGATGGAGGAAACAGTCTGTAGAGCGCCCTTGAGAACGTTGGCCTGGCACTCATTGAAAAGAATCTCACGAGCTGCGCGGAGCTCACCAATCCCTTTTGACACAGACAGTCAGACGAGCGAGCGACCATTTAAGCTTTTGCTTACCAGCTCAAAAGCCTGCTTGAAACCAAGAGGCAAGTCACTCATAGTTCGGTACCATTCCTTCATCACCGCCTCCAGGATTTTCCGGTCGAAAATCTGTTTAGGAAGAGAACAAAGTCAGTTTTCTCATTCCAAGGATCTCTCGTACCTCTGGAACAATTATTCGTTTGCCAAAGAGACCATCGTTTCCACCATCTTCTTCTTCGTCACCATCACCGAAATAAGCGTCGTCGTCTCCACCATCGTCGCCGCTATCACCACCGCCATGCCTGTTTCCTTTGCCAATGTTTCCACCATTGTCACCGTCCTCTAGCTGAAAGGAAGAACAACATTTTTTTCTTCTTCATCAGCTACGAAAGAATAAAAAAGAGCTCGCTTGCCTGAGGCCTGGACTTGGTCGAAGACGTGGACGAGAGGTCAAGCTTGGATTTTTCCAGCGTCGCGCCACCGCCAAAGGCACCAAATTCCTTCCTCATCACGGGCACCATCGAGGAGGGATTGAGATCGACAGCGTCATTGTCCAGGAATGCCGAAACCCTGCCGCGGCCACCAGCGGCCGCATCAACCCTAATCCCCTGCCTAGCGCACGCGCAAAACCCTGCGAGCGAAACCCTGGAAGGGCCCGGAGCAGCAGCAATCCTCCCGGATGGAGCCGGCGATTGAAACGCTGTGAGGAGCGGCGACGACGAACCTGTGGAGTGGAGAATGTGAGCGTCGGAGGAGGAGGAGGAGGAAGCCGAGACGGGCGCCGATGGAATCGATAGCGCCAGTAGAGGATGCGCCATAGGTCCTCTGGCCAAAGAGATAGAATCCCTCGTGAATATGCGTCTTATACGCTGAGCTGGCGCGCTTTTGCCACGCCAGGCGATCTTGTGCCGCCACGTCATTCAACGTTTTTATACACGCAATCCATGTCATAGAGGTGGAGATCTTTTAGGGGTGAGCTTTACGCCATGTCATAGGCTTATTTTGCCACGTCGGAGAGGGGGAAAAAGCCCTAAAATCTTCTTCTTGATCATGGCGTCGTCTGTGAGAGACGAGGAGGACGACACGGAGAAGCAGGAGCGCGCGCCATTCTTCCAGGGAAGCGGGAGCGTGGCGGATGCTGTCGACCGCCTGCTCGATGGCTCCACGCGCTACCTCACCGCCGTCCACGCCGCATTCATCCGCTTCCAAGAGCCGCCGCCGGCGTCGGTCATCCCCAAGGAATGCCTCCTGTCAGCTCTGCGCCTCTTCCTCCAGGTAAATCTCGCGAAATCCAGTGCTAGAAGTCTTTCTTTCGTGAAAATCCGTGCTCTTTGCTTCACGGGCTTGTTGATCTCGTGTTCTCTGTTCTCCCGCGTCTTCTTTTCGTAGTTCACATTGGAAGATTGTTGTACTTCTCGAGCTTTTCCACAGTGGAACCTTCCATTCTGTGTTGTAGAAGCATTCAAGCTCTTTCTTCTCTGGATTTTTTCTTCGATGCTTTGCTTATTTCGTGTTTCGCGTCTTACATTGCAAGATTGTTGTAGTTCTAGAGTGTTTTTCACATTGGAACTGTGTCGTGGAAGCATTGAAGCTCTTTCTCCTTTCTAGGATGCTTTTCTTTTGCGGAACTCCAGGATGGTCTTGCTTATGTTTGAAGCTGGGTTTTACAAATCAGATACAATTCCTTGCTTGCTTGGTAGTAGTGCTTAGATTCCTTACTGACGATCTTCTATCTCCTTCCAGACGCTCGCGGAAGAACTGGATCCAAAGCCCGGCAAGCTTCTCTTCCGGCCGGTGGAGCAGGAGGACCTGGAAGCGATCCTCGAGTACGACACTTCGCCAGAGATCGTGGACGTGCCAATCGACATCGACAGATTCGAGCAGCTGGCCCGGCGGCTGATCAAGCGGGTTGCTTTGGATCGAGGCAAGAGGCTGGGACTGTTCATGCTGGGCGGCGTCATGCTCGTCCATATGGCCAAGAGCGTCGTCAAGAAAGTCCCGTTCATCGGTGGCCCGCTGGGATGCTTTGTGGACGTTTTGCTTCCAACAACGTTTATCGGCCCGGCAGTGGGAGTCGCAGGAGCAATCTATCTATGATCAACCCATATGTTTATGTTGTACCATAGCAAAAGAAATGATTACAATAAGGTTTTACTCGTAGAATTTTTAAAGGTTATGACCATTTAAACTTTGTAAAGGCTGAGAGAAATTTAAATTTTAAAGGGCTGTATGGGATGTCACAAAAAGCTGGAGTAGCTCAGTTGGTCAGAGCGTGTGGCTGTTAACCACAAGGTCGGAGGTTCGAGCCCTCCTTCTAGCGGAGTATAAAATTTCTCTTTTTGTTTGGGTTCGAGTCCTTTTACTTTTTCTTTTGGATCTTGGAGGGAAGGAAATGCGGCGAAGCGTGGACCTGGACGATGGCGCGCTCGTCGATATCTTGTCCAGGATCGCGGATGCGCGGCAGATTGCGCAGTGCTCGCTGGTGTGCAAGCGATGGCAGGAGCTGCGCTGGGCTGTCACAGGCTTGCATTTCGATTTTAGGGCTCGCAGCAAGGAGGAGGTGAGGGAGAAGGAAGACGTCATCGCCGCTGTGCTCCGCCGCACCAAGAACAGAGCTCCCGGATGCCTCAAGACGCTCAAGGTCTCTCTCCGGTGCGATGAGCCGTCCGAAGCTACCGGGCACTGGCTTATGTGGGCCGATTCCCTCACTGCTCTTTGGCTCGAGGCCACCGTTTCTCTGCGCTGGGGGCCGGCTGTGTGGAACTCGGTGCTGCGCTTGGACACTCTCCGGGGCGTCCAGATAGTCGGGAGGTTTTACAGCAAGAACTTGCTGCCGGTGGTGGATGAATCTCCCTTCCAGAGCTTGCGCTACTGCCGATTCTCCAAGGCGATCAACGTGACGAATTTGCTGCTCGAGGCGCTCCTCGCAGCGTCCCCGGCGCTGGAGAATCTGAGCGTCGACTTCTTTGGGGACGTTTCCAGGCCAGCTCTCACGGTCTCGAGCGCCAGCTTGAGAACTCTCAGGCTTTTCGGCTGCTGGAGGGATGGCGATGCGTTCAAGGTGGTTCTCAACGCGCCAAGGCTGGCCAGCTTTGTGTTTGGCAACCTTCCCTCGAGAAGCGCCAGGCTGAGCATCCATTTCCTGTCGAAGAACTTGAGCTCGCTGGAGCTCTTCTCCTCCTGCGAGCTCGAGAACCGGTGTGATTTGCTGCAAAGCTTGAGGATAACTGGAAACTGGGCGCTGGAGAATGTTGCGAACGTGTTCCAGTTCACGCCCATGGTCACGGTGCTCCACCTTGGGCTGAGGAGCACTGGAAAGACAAGGATTGACAATTTCTTGGCTCCACTCATCAACTTGAAGAGGATCCATTTCTATGGCCTGGCTATGATGGTATGCTTCACTTTTCTTTCCCTTTTCCTTCTTTTTATGATTCTCTTGGCTCTTGCAGTCGTTTGTAGGAGGAGACATGAGATTAGAGGCGCTCCATGTCCATCTCTGGGCGGACTTGGACTTCCGCTATGCGGCGCCTGATATCAGCTTGTTCAAGGCTTTTCTCGAAGTTCATAAAATCCCGAGTCTGGTGGTACATTGCAAGGAGATGGCAGACCACGAAACGAAGTCCGTCAAGGAGAGCTATGAATGCTGGCGAGTTCTATTCGACCTGTTACTCTTCTATCCAAGCCGAGTCACACTCAAGTGCTAAAAGGTGACAAGTTTTGTTCTTGTCAATTGTCTTGTTCTAATTGTCCTGGTTTGCAGGAAACGGAGCCACCACCTTTTGAACAGAATGCGTGGTATGGAGCTCAAGCGATGGCAAGAGCTCCGCTTCGGCTTCTACAGAGCTTTGATGGGTCAACCGCCGCTCCGGACTCTCGAATTTCGTGACACTGGTGTGTCGACTTCGCTTCTCAAGGCACTCTCTTGGCAGCATGCCCGGTGCTCACGTATCTAACAGCAGAATTCTCAGTGGTTACACTCACACCCTTGTCAAGCGCAAGCCTTGAAATCGTAGTGTTTGTATGGGTGAGTGATTGTGGAAGCCCTGAGGTTGAGCATTCTTATGTTGGAAGTGAGAAGAGTGAGGATCTGTTTGCTCGCCCATTATGTTGGAAGTGAGAAAAGTGAGAATCTGTTGTGATTTGCACTTTCTTGCCTTCTATAGTCCTAACTACTGAGGATTTGTGGAAACTGGAACCTGATGAGATGATCACCCAGGGTGACAAAACTCTGCCTCAAGCACAGATGAGTCTTGATCTTGCGATCGCTCCATTGCTCAGGCTAAAGGCACTCCACTTGGACTGTGCTTCTAGCAAGTTACTTTGATCACAGGATACTCACCAGCAGTCCTCCGTTGCGGGAACTCATCCATACATCAACTGGTTGAGAGCATGCGCACGATGACAAGAGGGACGTGAGATGGAGCTGTCGCTACAGAGCGACGATCCATTTCGGGGTGAATGTCCCAAAATCACTCCTCATGGTTTTGCTTCGGGATGCTCGAGTCTGAAGGCTTGACGTGGCTCACTGGACGTTTAAGGCGGACTACCTGGGTTGGCGTGCTTTGTGTGATCTGCTGCTACTTTATCTCAGTCGTGTCTCCGTGTCAAGAGAGAGTTACTGGAGCAAATAGCTGGTACAAGGAAAACATGCCCTTCACAATTTGCTACCACAAGTTGTAGTCCAACCAGAAACGCAAGCTCAAATCGCCGCTAAATGCAGGCCACATCCCTTTGCAGGATAACTCCCATAAATCAAATTCAAAGGTCGTCTCTAGATCCACTTATCTCGCTGGATCTTTCAAGCTCTAGCACTCTATCACAACAAAAGAATGGTGCTCCGAACGAACAGATCGATCCGTAGCTCTAGCACAGCTGTCTTCTCTCGGCCTTTCGTATAGCCTTGCCACAAGATCACAAGCTTAGGTGATCCTCCTCCATTGAACTTTGGCACATGTCGCTTCCAGGTGATCTAGCTGTGATGATGAGTGTTCTCTCAAGGGTGGAGTGTTAGCATTAGGAAGAATGGGAGGAATGGCAAAGGCAATAGAACTGATCTTGCTACTGTGTTGTCATTGTTATTGTTGAGACTGTTAGAAGATGCTAAATATATCCCTTTTTAAAGTGATATCTTATACCTGTAATCTAGAAAGGGATTTATACTAATAATAATATTTATATTAGTGGTACAACCAAGTAATAAAATAATTTGCAGCTTACTACTATTTAGTATTATTTAAAAATCCAATTGATCAATTGGATATTTATAATTTATAAACACAAAATTATTCTTATTAATATAATATGGTAGAATAAACTAGAATATGCTAGAAAGTGTTTAAGAAAGTTTATAATTATAAATATGTTTATAAATTATAAATAACACCCATAGGTTTGCTTAAATATTAAATATTAGTTATCCACTTTTTATAAGGTTAATGTCTAAATTTATTAACTGATAAAAATAGGTTAAATTAAAGGGTAAAATCAAAGTTAAAAATAAATAATAAAATAAAGCATTAAAAATTTTATTCAGTAAAATTAGGTCTTTATTTTTATTAATTTTTAAACTAAGATAAAGTGTATAAAGTCACTAAATGAGGCCAAAAACTGCTCTGTCTGCTCGCACGCTTAAGATCGTACACTCGGAGATGCCACAAAAAAGAGTAGGGTTTATAAGAGCACTGCCTCTTCTATTCTATGCTGTAAAGAGACGTTGTTTCCTTTGCTTATATCGGCGTATGCCTAGAACGGACAAGACCGCACGGCGCTGGATTTGCATGGACAAGGCCTTGTGAAGTGAAGGTAACGTTGCTCAGAGCTTGTAGCGTGATCGAGGAATGCCATGCCAGGATCGTCTTAGCAGCTTGCAATTTATTACTATCTGAAAACGGCGAGCTCATCTGCCAGCATTTCGGCACGAAGCCGAGGCTGAGCTCGTTGCATGAGACGAAAGAAACAGTCGTAATGCTCAGAGGATGGTAGCAGGGAGAAATCATCAATCATCGCAACAAAGCATCCTCGAGCTTCGTCAGGCGAGTAACCGGCGCTGGAACACGCAGACAAAACCACTAGAAACGTTACGGAAGAAGGATCAACACCTTGGAGGATCATGTAAGGGAGAATCTCGAGTGCTTCCCTGCTGTGATCGTTCCTAGAACAAGCGGACATCAAGGTGGTGAAAGAGAACTCGTCCGGTCGTCCCAGCCGAGAGAATGCTTCCTTCGCTTGTATCAAACTCCCGCAGCACCCGTACATGTGAATCAGAGCATTCAAAACTTTGGTGTGTCTCTTATACTTGGATCGACGGATTCTCCTGTAAACGGCTTCTCCCTGCTGGATCGACGCTAAAGTCGCACAAATCTCGAGCATGGTAACGAAGGTAGCCTCATCCGGATCGATCCCCTCGGCCTCCATCCGGTGGAAAAGTTTGATCGCTTCTTTACCCTGCCTATTCTTGCCGTAGGCATCGATCATCGCATTCCAGGACACCACATCACGCTTTGGCATGTCCAAAAATACGTCCTTGGCATTCTCAAATCTCCCGTGTTTTACAAATGCCGTTAGAATCGAGTTCCAGCACAGGATGGTTTTGTGTGTGATGTTGTCAAACATGAGCTTGGCTTGATCGACTTCACCGAGCTGGGAGTAAGCGCGCATCATCACTGCATAGAGCACAGAGTCTCGCTGCTCGCACTCATCAAACAAGAGCTTTGCTTGCTCAAAGTCTCCATTCTGGGCGTAAGTAGAGATCATACTCGTGAGTGCTGTGATATCTTTGCGTGGCATTTGATCGAACAGGGTCTTTGAGGAGGCTATGTCGCCAGCCTTGGAATACGCTTTGATCATGGCTGTCCAAGCTTTGGAATCCTTGATAAGGATTGAGTCAAACACTTCTCTAGCCTCCTTCATATGCCCGTTTTGAGCATATGCTGTGACCATCACTGTGCAAGCAATGGTATCACGTTTTGGAGCTCGATCAAACAGAATCTTTGCTTCGGCTATGTTGCCACCCTCTGCATACGCTTGAATCATCGTTGTCCATGTAACCACGTCCTTCTTATCAGTGCTCTCAAACAGGCTGCGAGCTTTGTTCATATGCCCGCTTTGGGCATACGCTGAAATCATGGTGTTGTATGATGTCGGAGATGGATTTCTTATCTGATCGAGAAGCTCTCGTGCCTCTAGCAGGTATCCTTTTTTTGAAAATGCCGTTAGAAGCGCGTTTGCTGAGATAGTGTTCTTGTCTGGCATGCTGTTGTAAAGAGCTTTGGCGTCTCGCAGATGCCCGTTTTGGGCATACGCGACAACCAGCATTGTCCAAGAGAAAATGTTGGGGTCCTTGAGATCGTCAAAAGTCCAGCGGGCTTCTTCGAGGCTGCCACATTTCCCATACGTTTCTATCAAGATGTTCCAGAGGAATCTGTTTTGGGGGTAGCCGCTGTTTGTGATTTGGAAATGCAAGCGCTTTGCTTGCTTAAGATCTTTCTTCTTCCCACACGCTCGAAGCTGCCGAGCAAAGAGTAATGTATCGGGATGTTCTTCCTCTTCCTCAAAATCCACCGTATGCCGGTGCGCAAGCGTGAAGAAATTTGCGACGCTCATGGCTGAAAGTAAGGCTTATCGCCCGGCAGATCCCCGCTGGTCATTCTATCCTCTAGAACCACGAGATTTTGGCATGGAGCATTACGCCTTATAGCATTCTCTACTTTGCCTCCACTGTGAGAGTGGCTATACCTCCACTGTTGCTCTTGCTGATCGTTCGTAATGACAATTGATTCCAATCTATGAAAAATACTTACAAAATGTAGAAAGATCTAAAACATAATAATACAATTATTCTTCATAAAAGTTAATATTATTAACTGAGTGTATAAATAGAATATAGAAAAACCCTAATGTATAGTTGTCTAAATTCAAATCAATCTGACAGCTATCAAAATAATATTAATATATAGTATTATAGGTATACACTTGACCTCACATCATCTCCTCTTCTCAAGGATAGAAAGTAATCAAAATTTTCTAATTAATTTGCGAATTACCATTACAAGAGCAACTTTGATATCATCTGTTATTACAACTTCTCTAAATTCAGTAAATATGATTTTAGAAAATAATATATTCGTTATTTTCTTAAAATGTCTGTGCGATCAAACACCTTAGGGAGCCCCTTCTTGGCTCATTGGGATACTGATCATGACGAGAAACAAGAGTAGGGATCGATTGGTCAACTCTCTTATATGCGTCGGTTACAAGTCTCTACTCTGGTCTGGGATTTATCGCGACCTTTGGTACTAACCTCAAGTACCTCCAGTCCTGAGCAGCGTCTTTATCCTTCTATGGATCATGTATGCTCAATAGCAAGCATTCTACAATCTCAAGACAGTCGAAACTGAATGGATGATGTAACTTGATCGAACATGGTCTTTGAGGACGGTTTGGCTAGAGCTCTTTGACTCGATTTACTACAGGATTCTAGAGCTTGGACAGATCCGAGCGTATTGCTGTGCAAGCAATTCTGTTACGGTTTGATGCTCGATTAAATGCTTGCATACCAGATCACAACTCAAAACAGTCTTAAGGTCCCAAACGTTTATGGATAATGCTTCTTGTAGCGGATGCCCTAAACGGGCATCTCTGAGACGTTAATGCTTTTTACAACATGCCAGCGACGGGCAACATCTCAACAAACGCGCTTCCATTTAAGATTTTGCAACGAAAGATACTTGCTAGAAGATGAGAAGTGCATCTCCAACAACAAGGCACATAAACATCTCTGTCGGGATGTTTCCTCTTCCTCCCAATAAACTGTATGCTGGTGGTTATCAAGGGTTTCGTCTAGAACCGGGAGAAGCTAAAATGCCCATTTCGGGCATATGCCAAGCAGGAATTTCCGCCAATTAAGATCTTTTAAATTTCAAAGAACTTATCCTTTGATTTTGGACATTAATATACATACACATGTAAGAAATCCTCGCGGGTGTTTTGATCTTCTGCGCACAGGCTTTTCTAGATGCCAAGTAAAACGTAGTATAAAAGAGTTATAGGCAGTGCCACTAGCATACCGAAGATCACACTGTTTGCAAGAAAGCTCAAGTTAAAGAACGAAAAGAATAGAAAGAGAGACTCACGCCGTGCTGAGAACATCTGGATGAACATTATATTCTTTCGCAAAAACGAACGGCACGATTCCTTGAGGTAGAGCTGCCTGGTATCAATACAATAGAAAGATGAATTTTTAATTTTTTTATAAAAAAAAACTATATACCTGGACAATGGCCGCTCGAAGATCCAGCTTTCTTAACCCCACAGCGATGGACGCCACAGACATGATAGCCGGGCTACAGAAAAATCTGAGCAACATTCCAAACATTGCCATGGAAGTTCCACAGGCCAAAATTCTCGGTTGCAGCGCCATGAAAAGTCCTACACAAAAGATTGAGCATCAGTGTTGGAAGGTTTTGAAAGAAATAGAGAAACTTTACACACACCTAGACTGAACATAGCCATCCCCAAGCCAGCATCCGAGAGAATAGTGATGGACTTTTCAATGAGTTTCGGCGCCTTGACATTCCACCTAGAAAAAATCTACAAGAGCTTCAGTCAGGCAAGAAAGTAATTTCATAGTCTATAAGTAGCTATCAAAGAGGAATGAGGGAATGAACTCAAGCTTGCTACAAGTACCTGAAAGAGACGAGAGCCCAGACCAAGCCGATGAGACTCGAGTAAGTGTTTGGATTCCTCACGAGTTTTCTCCACACCATGTCAAGGATGAGCCTAGTCATGACTGTTGCTGGAGGCATTGCTTGATTCCCTTCTCCAGTACCACCACCATTCAAGTTTGGAGTTTTTGGAGCAAGCTCCACAGTGGAGCTCGATTCTAGCTTCGCAAGATTCGGCTCAAGCTTATCGGATGGATCATACGCACCGTTTCGATCGGCAAAGCTGAATTCCTGGTGCAAGTACTCTGGAACTCGGTCCCTCGTATCTAAACCATTGCCAGAAACAAGGGAAAGTGTAAGAACTAACAAAGAACAAGTTGTGAAACACTTGCCTTCCACTTGACCATCATCAGAGACGACGACCAGTTTGGTTTCTTTTGGATCAAACTTGGCTCCATCTCGGGCATTGAAGTCGGTTCCACCGAAGACATGCAAACCCTTCTCGGACGTTGGGGAAGCGCTCGAGCTCCACACAAACATATGAAGCTCTTTGGCGTCGTAGTCAGCCGATTTTCCCTGTGGAATCCCTTGCAAAACATTGGGCGTACTGTTATCTTTGCCTGTGGTGCTGGAAATGTTATTGTTCGCCACCTTTTTGGGGAGCTGCATGGATGGCGATGGCGAGTACGCTCCCAAAACCTTGCTCGTGTTGTTGCTATTGTTGCTATGGTGTTGGTGGTGGTGGTGGTGGAATCCATTGCTCTGATCCTCCTGGAAGCTCAGGCGATTAGCAGTGATCCCGGATTGATTCAGGAGCCCCGTGGACATTCCCTCGTGTGCGTGGTGATGCAAAGGACTCCCCCCAGCGTGATGCCCAGTGCTCGCTCGTCCAAAGATGTTGGAGCTCATCAAGCTCGAGTTCCCACCGCCGCCGCCGCCGCTCATGAGATACGCGTCCCCGCGGGTGAAGCTCGAGTCGCGGGGGGTCATATTCCGCGAAGAATGCAGCGAGTAGATCTCGGCGCCGGTGAGATTGGAGGGGCGGGGAGTGCCCGCCTTGCTCGAGAACATCGATGCCATGGGCGATCTCGCGGTGTTGTTGAGATTGAACTGGCCAGCGCCGAAGTTGGAGTTGAAGTGATGCATGGAGGCGGAGGAGAACCTGGCGGACTGCGCGGAGGAGGTGGACTTGCGGACCTTGACGTGGATCCGGCCGTCGTCGCCCACCTCGGCCTCGGTCAGCACGGGCTGGTCGCGGCCATCGAGCGAGATCACGTCCGAGTCCACCTTGAAGGAGACGATGGAGGCGGCGGTGTCGGGGAATTGCTCCAGGATGAGGATCTTGGCGCTGCGGTACTCGTACATGACGAGGAGGAGCGTGTACCAGACGATGCACTGGAGAACCAAGGCCTGGACGACGAGGCTGCCGTGCTTCTCGCCATACATGGCGTAGAGGAGGGGAATTCCCATCACCAGCGTGTGGGGCAGCGTCGCCACCATGAAGTGCGTGATGACCCACTCGAAGCTGGCGCGCGACGAGTAGCGCGCCCAGATGGCGAGGACGAGCATCACGGCCGCCTTTTGGATGGCGTCGGCGGCGATGAACTGGGGGTTCATGAGGTAGGGGTTGTTCTTGGAGATGATCTGGAAGGAGAGCAGTGGCACTGCGAAGAGCGCCACGAATCGATTGATGCCCGAGCACTGCTCGGGCGTGAGGATCCCCCACCAGCGCACGGAGCCGTAGGCCAGGATCATGGCGACGTAGAGCGGCACCACAGCGGCCATGACTTGGTAGAAATCGCCCCCGCTAATCATCTTTCCCGGGCGAGTGGGAAATCCTTCGCGGACGAGAGAGAGAGAGAGAGAGAGAAGCTCTGCTTTCTCTGTTTTCTAGTTCTTGGGCAGTGAATTCGAGGATTGCGGCCCCCTGCGAGCCGGATTTTGAAGCAATCGATCGGAGAGCTATCTAGGAAGCAATGCTGGCACAGTTTACCTCGGGAATTTGAGCTGTCTAGCGCTGCTGTCCATCGATTTGCCGACGAAACAGGATTGAACAGCTCCCCTCTCTGGGCATATAGGAGCAATCAACCATCTCAGGGACAAGGCTAGGAACTACACAGGGGTTTCTAATGCGAATCGCAGCCGGCAACAAAGATCTCTCACACACCGGGGGTGTTCCTCCTCCGACCTCGCCCCACCCATGGTCAATCCAATGTGGGTGCGTGAGATTGATTGATTGATGGAGATGGGCAGCGCGACACGCCAAACAAGAACACAGTGCGCTCGAAGAATCCAAAGGTCCAGTAGCAGTAGTAGCGCGAGCAGCAGCAGCAGCAAATCTCACAAAGAAAAGAAAAATGCGCGACGAAGAGAGACCTAAAAGAGAAAAGATGGGAAGAGCCCACTAGCTAGGAGGAGGCTATACACTCACTCACACTACACTTGGGAGTGATAGTGGTATCGGAATGGGCCACTGGCCACTGGCCACTGGGTCAGTGGGCACTGGCACATGGGCCTGACTGGGGCCGTACGCTGGCCACTTTGTCGCCCCAGTTTCGTACACAAGCCCCCTCGCCCTATCATGGGTGGTGAAATCTCGCTGTGGGGAGCCAGTGTTTCTCATCGAATCGATCCATCGGATAAGAAGGTATTGGTTATTTTCTTTCTCCATTTTTTCTTGAGTTTTTACATGGCTGGGCTGTAGCCTGATCCAAGTACATTTGCTCGCGATGTTTTGGAAATTTCGTAACCGAAGCCCCTTTGTTTGGAACAGATATCTCTCTGCCATAAAGCTGTGCTGCCGCATTATTTTAAATCGATCTCTCTTTCCCCACCTCTTGAAAGCTAGATGGGCTTTTCTGCTTGGGTGTTGGGTGTCAATCGCCTGCGCACATAACACACATGTAAGTGTGAAAGGAAAGGTGGCGGGATTGAAATATTTGCAGCTTGTGTTCTCTATGAATTCTCTTTTCTCTGGTTGGTTGGTACGAAAATTGCTAGCTGGGAGGCAATCACTGCAAACATCCGAATAGTAATACATGGTTTTCGAGTCTGGTGGAGGCATGGGACCAGCTGTGATCACCTATGTGATCAAGAAAGCCACACTCTCTTCCTTCTTTTTTGCTTTGTACGATGTACATGGAGATCATATGGTTCCATTGGGGGTGATTTAGTATATATCTCGGGGATACTGTCAGCTTTAGATCGACACTTCAAGACTCTAAGCGAGCTCTTAACATCGTGTCGATCTACACAGCTGAGATGGAAAAGCTGCTAGCAATTTGCTCATATCATGGAATTGCGTGGGCTAGTCTACATTTGGCTGGTGGGAACATCTCATCTCTTCTCGAGACGTATACATTGTGTGTACTACTCAGTCGTGCAGAATATGATGCTCTACATATACGTCTTGGAGAGAATCTTCCCGCCCTTTTGAGTTTCTCGCTCTCCCAATTGCACAAAAGGCATCTTACTGTGGGGCATTCCAGTCCACAGGCACCACTCCATCGCTCTTAAAGCTTCTGATAATGCCACACAAGGATTTCCCCAATTTCATGTACTCGTATGTATAGATAACATTGTGCCATCAAGTAGGGACATTGGTGCCAAATTCCGCCTTAAAGAAAGTGGGTGTTCAATGGGTTTGGTGTTGTGTAGCATCCATTTCCACATTGGAAAAGAGCTTGGATTCTGGAAAGCATTTAGTTTTGAAGCATATGATCACCAGCGAGCCTGGGTTTTGTTTAAGCTCCTAGCCGGAGGCTTTTGCAGCGTAGATTCCAGACACGCACTTGCAGCTCCGCCAAAATTCCACCCTGCCTTCCAGCGCTTTAGCCTAGTGCTTGTAGAATCTAGGATTCTCACAAAGAGAATAATTTTGTACATGGCTCCCACTCCAGTCCACTCACAAAATGCCCATTCCAAAATGCCCGTCCCTGGCATGTTTTTGGTTTAAGCATTCGAAAGAGGATGGTTTAGTGGCAGCAAAGCACTGCCCACGTATCTCCCGACAATACAACATTGTGATTAGCTACCTAGATTAGCCAGACTAGTTTATAACCGAGGTGGACCACTGACAACAAGTGGTTACATTGTAGCCATCCCCCTCACAAAAAGAAAACATCAAATGGTCCTCTGATGTTTTTCTCCATCAAGGTTGATGCATGCATGATGCCAACAGTGCTAACGTAGAGTGGAGACTTGGACGTTGCTTTCATGCATGGCCAACTTTTCGGTCCCAAAACACCGAACAGTTTGCTTTGAGGTTCTCCTCGGAGGCAAAGCAACACAATTCGCTCACTTGCTTCTCTCGCGAGTCGCGATTGTGAGGGCTTGGCTCGGACACCATAAATTTGGCCTGTCCGATGGAGCTAGCCACACGATGTGGATGAGCGCATTGTGCTAGAGAGTGTGACAACGAGCTCCATCTCCTCCTCTCCTTTGCAATTGTCTTGGTTTCCCGTGAGAGCGACGCGCTCCTTTGGATCGCTTGCGCCATCATTGGCAGGAGAACAAAAAGAGCGCCAACCAGATCTGATATTCGCCCGCGCTTGATCTTTCATCGCCCACTCAAGCGTTCCTTCTGGAGATTTCTTCTCATAGACCATTTTCTTGGATCTTTGTATTTGTTTTTCTTTTTTTTTGGGGGGGGTGGGGCGCTTGATCGCTCCTGAAAGTGAAGTGACACCGGCAAAAAGAGCAACTCTTCTCTTTTGTCTTCCTTTATTCTTTTTTAAAATTTAAATAACTTTTTTCCCTTCTTTTTCTTGTGGTCCAGAGAGAGTGCATTGAAATATTTATGGAGAGTGAATAGCCATTGCAGCCATTCAAACCAATGCGCAGAGAGGCTGAGTTGCTTGACCTGTTTGGAGGATTTTTAACTTTGTATGAGTGATCACCCATACAAAGACAGGACCATGTGCATGGCCGTCTAAAGGCCCATTTCGTATTGATGTCAGACACAGACTGGAAGTTTTGGACAAAAAACTGGGAAAAGGAAAAGTTCAAGAAAAAAGAAACAAAAAATAGCAAAGAATTTTATCAGACAATTTGAGAACGACAGCGAAGAGAGCCTCTCGAGAAATATTTGTTAAAAATCAAAGACAAGAGCCGCAGTAGCTAGCAGGAACACGAAGAACTTGTTTGGGATTTCTCTATTCTTTAGTAAGAAATGGATCAAGCGAGCGCGCGAGCTTTCTATATGGATTTTCTCGCAGCAGCCGCCTCCAACCAAATCATTACGGCAAAGGCTTTTGTCTGCTTGCTGTTTCTTAGAATGATGCGCTAAGTAAGCAGCGCATAAGACGAAGAACTTGGGGAAGAGATTTCTTTTACTTTCTCGAAATGTTCTTCCCGAGAAACTCAACATTGTCGATGGCTCGCTGAGCAGTACAAAAGGTTTCAGGAACAAGTACCTGGAAGCACGAAAAGAAACCAGGATGAAGTGATGCGCGAAAGAAACAAGGATTTCCCGGGCTTACCCCGTGTTGCCCCCAAACATCTCCCCGTTTGGTCTCTTGCAGCGGCAAGTCCTGCAACACCTTTTTCTTGCGTACCTGATAGTGTAATGTACTAAGCTCCCCAGTCATGCCTTTTGCTCTGTGATCGGCCGTATAAGACCCTGCACCCCCGCAATACAATCGCAAAATGAAAAGGAAGCCAACAAAACGGTTGACACCAAAGCACTGTACCTGGGTGTCAGGAAGAACAACTTTGATGTTTCGGTTAAAAAAGTCGACGACTTTACCTCCAAAATAACGGATAATTAACTTCCAGGTGACGAGAATGATAGCCGCGTAGGAAAGGAAAAATCTGTGTGAAAGGAAGGGTCAAACCATGCTTTGGAACAGCTGAAACGAACCTTAAGTTTTTTATCAATGCTTCACAAAACGCTGCTGGTACTCTCCCACAAACCAGCTTATTGAGGAGCAGCACGAATGTTATACATAAATATACACACACACACAACCAGAGTTTACAGCGAACCTCTTGATCTATTCCGAGGCTTCTTCCGTCGGAAGTCGATCCTGGTACCAGCTCCGAAGCCCACCTTCCAGGTGCAAAACATTCGTATAGCCGTCCATGAGAAGCACGTATGCCGCAATCAACGATCTGCAAGGGGAAAAGGAAAAGCAAGCGTCAGGGCAGTGATTAGTACTACGAGAAAAATGGTTAAAGAACTATCACTGTGCTGGAATTGGTTATGTCAATCATGTCATGGAACAGATGCAAGCTTTTCTGAGTACGCTACCTTGATTGCTGTCCATCGGCCAAAGTTGGAGTAGGCTTCATTGTACCTCCAGATGCGCAGGCAACAATAACTTTGGACTTGCTTTCGACCTTAGCCCTCACATCTGGAAGCACAGGAAGAGACAGAAATATAAGCGCTCGAGTAGCATCTGATAATATCACACAATCTGGCAGGCAAGTTGGTTCTGATGGTCGGTCGTGCCACTCTGATTGGAATGGGCAAGCGCAAGCAACAGTAGTAAGGGACCTTACTTTACATGCCTGCAAGGAAGTTTGGATTCTCTTCGGTACCGTCGAAAATGCCAAAGAACGCGAATCCCAGCCTTCGAGCGATATCCCAGGCAGTCCATTCCTTGATAAGCCTGTAAATCTCTACATTCACAGCTCCTATAGGATGCATCTGGAAAGTTCATCAGATGAAGTTGGCCAAAAGAAACAACAAAGAAAAAGAGAGAAGAAACTTACCTTTTGGAATTCGTTCTGAGGACGAACATCTAGAAGAACGTAGCCTTGTTCGTCCTGGAGCCTTTTAGCGTCCTTGGGAGTGATAGAGCGTACCTACATCCATATACTTGTCTATCTCCATTCCTTTCCAATCCAGGTCAAAGAAAGAATAGAAATTCTACCTGGTTTTTCTTCAAAGCCTCGCGCTTGATTCTCCAATCCTCCTCGGCTGTGAAGAAGGATTCAATAGCCTACCGATGAGTTTCTTCGAACTAGGTCGAATTTGCGAGCAGTACCTGGAGTCTTGGCGCGCTTGGTTGCCGCTCCAGTCGCTCGAATCGCCGTCATCCTCCTCCGCGGCGGCGCATTGGCGTGGAAAGGAATCGCGCTGCCAAAATCGTCGAGGTTTCCAGACCTGGGAGCCGCGGAGAGAGCGAAAGAAGCCGCCGTCGCCATTGCCATTTATCTCATTCCCTCGAGAGAACAATGGCGAGGATATTCTACCCTTCGTTTAGGGTTCTTATAGGGTTTTAGGAGGAGAGCGGCTGGCAATGGATGTCGATTTTCGCCAGGGATTCGCGAAGCTCGCTCGCTTGTCGAGCCTGGCCGACGATCGCATTGCGGTACTTGCCCGGGTACGTTCTCGCCTCGCATTTCTCGCAGAATTTCACTTATTTCGCGCGGCAGGGGGATGAAATCGATCGAAAAGCGGTGGAAGTGGTCCAGGAATTGCTCGTGAGGCCGGATTGCACAGTCGTAGTGGCTGGATGCTTTCGATCGGTGCTGTTGGAAGTAGTGTCGGATTTGGTGCACTCCCTTGAGAAGCGAAGTAGCTCGAGTTTGAGCCTGGCAACTCATGAGTATGTGAGCGTGGCCTTTAGCAAAATTCTCGACCTGGCTCCATTTCTCTCGAGGTAAGCCTTGTGTATGTAGTGTCTCAAGTCGGTGATTTATATCTGCCTTGTGTTCTTCGCAGCTCGATTCTACGCTACTATACGTTTGCTCCATCACCATTTGAGAGACTATTGCGTAATGGTCTTGGTGGCGAGTCGTCGGAGGGGCCATCTCTCTTGGAAGTTTTACGTGCCTCCTACCAGTTCCTCCGGCTAGATGCGAGAAGCTTTCGGGAGCTGTGGGATTGGAGTCCTTTTCTAAGTCTTTTGCTGTGGACTGGAGAATGCCGCGGAGGCACGGTTTTTGATGTGCGCTGGTGTGCTGTCCAGATTTTGTCACTGGTGTTTAGAATGTCGGATGCTGCCTCGAGAGACTTGACTGCGTCGCTCTCGGGTATTTCGGAAGAAGAGGCATTTTCATGCTTGATAAGGTGAGCTTATGTTTTTGTTCATCGTATGACTAACTTCTTGTTGCTACAGGTGGGAGGAGTTTTATCGAGAAATAGCGGTAGGAATGGTAGAGATGTTCACTGCGGGTGGTGACTTAGATACTCAAGAGAAGAGTTCGGCTACTGTACATTATGAGTCAGTTGTAAGGTGGAAGCAACGGCATGACGAGAAGGTCTCACATGTCGTCATTTGTGGTGTTGAGCTGCCACTGCGGCCTGATTTTCAAAGGTACGGGACTTTGATAAGTAAATCTTACAAAGCTTTTCAACTTTTTTGGTTGCAGCGGAGGCGCTGTGCGAAGCTCTTTTGTAGTAACGCCTAGTGTGAAGTCTCAAATGGAAGCTTTCGCTCTGGCACTCAGTCAAAGGCAACCTGTGCTGCTAGAAGGTCCTTTAGGATCAGGAAAGTCTAGCTTGCTTCGAGAATTTGCAGGTTTAACGGGAAATACAGGTTCGATCTTATATTTCTTTCACTCGTGTGCTGATTTTTGCTTGTCCAGATGTTTTATTCATTCACCTTGACGATCAACTGGATACCAAAACGCTATTTGGCAATTACGTGTGTACCGAAGTTCCAGGAGAGTTCAAGTGGCAGCCGGGTACACTTACTCAGGTTGGTCCTTCCTTTTCTTTCGTGAGCATATTTTAAATCTGCATTGCAGGCTATTGAAAAGGGCTTGTGGGTTGTTTTTGAGGACGTTGACAAAGCTCCTTCCGATCTCTTTTCTTCGCTTGTATCTTTATTAGAGGATCGAAAGCTCCAAATTCCCGGTCGAGGAGAGGTAATCTAGCACATGTTGGTGTATTGTAGCATTACAGCTGTTTTTCAGGTGGTCTATGCTGCAGAGAACTTCCGTCTGTTTGCTACGGTGTGCCGAATGCAATTTGGTACCACGTGGAAGTCTGGGGAAGGTTCGGTCTTTATACTCAACGCTCTCGTAATTTAGTTGCTTTTGTAGGCCGGGACTCGTTTACCTACTTGTGGCGGAAAATTATAATCGAGGCGTTTTCGGATGTGGAGCTGTCAACTATAATCAAGGAGAGGTTTCCAGGACTGTGCTCCCTAGTCCCGAAACTGATTGGTATCTTGTCTCTAAGCTAACTTACTTTCAATTTCTGATAAGTGTTATGCAGGCACGCTTAACATAGTAAAGGGTACAGTGGCACAAGGTGGTGCCACTGCTCACGTTAGTCGGCATTTTTCTACGAGGTAAGACTGTACGATTTCAAGTTTTTCTGCCCGAATAATGGTTAATTATTTTCAGGGACCTTTTGAAATTTTGTAATCGAGTGTGTGCACTGGTTCCTCGGGTATCTGAAAGCTTGATCCTAGATGAGACAGTACGAGACCACATATATTTGGAGGTACTAAATCGCTTCTCACATTTAGAATCCTAAATTGGCCAATGCAGGCTGTAGACTGTTTTGCTGCAGCTGTTGGGGATACTGTCGATCGGCAACTTGTGATGAGATGCATTGCTGAACATTGGAACGTTCCTCTGGAACGTGTGGAATATTACAGCCAGTTGTTTAAGCCTCTGTGTCAGGTAATACTCAATAATAGTCGAGGTCGGACTAATGTTTCTTCCGCAGGAGCTGCGTTCTGCACTACAAATTGGCCGTGTTGTCATGTTCTTCCGCAGGAGCTGCGTTCTGCAGCACAAATTGGCCGTGTTGTCTTGCCATTACAATCACAAGCGGTAAATCTAGATTGGATTCATTTCTCTTTTGAGATTTACAACGATAGTTTTCAGGCGAAAGGGTCATACAACACGGTCTTCGCTGATACTGCTCAAACAATGAGGCTACTAGAACGGATAGCCCGTTGCGTTGAACAGAATGAAGCTGTGCTTCTTGTTGGAGAGACGGGAACTGGCAAAACGACTCTTGTACAGAGATTGGCGTGGCACATGTCAACTCCTTTGACTGTTGTGGTACGTATTAGAGCTCCTATGTTTGCATTTAATTTCGTTGGTGTTGGTTTTAGAATCTAAGCCAGCAGAGCGACGCAGCCGATTTACTGGGAGGTTTCAAGCCGGTAGAAGCGCAAAGTGTTTGTCTGCCTCTAGTGGAAACATTCAATGAAATTTTTACGGCCACGTTCTCTCTTCAGGTCGTATTTAGTTTTCTCTGTTTGTTTGGGCCATTTCTCACATTTAGTTACAGAAGAACAAGGACTTTTGGACAACAGTTCAACAGTATGTGGAAAAAAAAAGATGGGTGCTGCTTCTCAAGGCTTTTCGCATTGCTATTACAAAAGTTGGGAACCTGGTGGGTGAAAACTCAGAGGAATCGACTGCAAAAAAAGCAAAGAGACAAAAGCCAGTCAGCCAGAATCTTCTCGATAGGTGGCGGGCTTTCTCAGTTGAGCTCAGTAAGACCGAGAAGCAGGTGGAAGCCTCAAAAAGCGCCTTTGCGTTCTCTTTCGTCGAAGGTGTACTTGTCAAGGCACTGAAGAACGGTACCTGGCTACTCCTTGACGAGATAAACCTTGCACCAGTTGAGATATTGGAGAGGCTGAATGGAATTTTCAACGGAGGAGGTGGATCAGTCTGCCTCACAGAGCGCGGTGACATAGAGATTGTGCAGCGGCATCCCAACTTTCGGATATTTGCCTGCATGAATCCTGCGACCGACGTTGGGAAGCGAGAGTTGCCCGTACTGCTCAGGAACAGGCTTACAGAGCTTTACGTTGACGAGATGTGCGGCAAAGAAGACTTGGAGGCACTGGTTGCCAAATACTTGGAAGGCTCCATGCGTTCTCCGGAAAACATCGTCAACTTTTTCTTAAAAGCCCGGGAAGAAGCAGAGAAGCGGCTGCGCGATGGTGCTGGGCATAAACCTCAGTACAGTTTACGGTCACTTTCCCGGGCGCTCGAGTTTACAAGGCATGCTATGCCTGTTTATGGGTTTGATCGGGCCTTGTACGACGGGGTTTGTATGTCGTTCCTGACCCTCTTGGATCAGTCGAGTGCTCCGATCATGGAAGAACTCATTCAGCAAGTTCTCTACAATCAGTCCGGGAAATCAACGAGCTTTTCGAAGTCCCTTATGAAGGCTCCGGCACAACCAAGTCCAGACCACATTTTGTTCGAACAGTTCTGGGTGCAGCGTGGATGTGAGAGCCAAACGGATGCTGATACGGCCTTCTGCAAGCGCTACGTCTTGACCAAGAGTATAAAGGAGCATCTGAAAAATATTGCGCGGGCGGTTTTCATTCGGAAATATCCGGTGCTGCTGCAGGGACCAACTTCGAGTGGGAAAACAAGTCTAGTACGATATCTTGCAGCCGTCACAGGACACAAGTTCTTACGGATCAACAACCATGAGCACACAGACCTGCAAGAGTACCTGGGTGCTTATGTTTCAGATCATACTGGAAAGCTGGTTTTCCAGGAAGGACCACTGGTGGAAGCTGTTAGGAATGGCTATTGGATCGTGCTGGACGAGTTGAACTTGGCTCCATCAGATGTGTTAGAAGCTCTGAACCGGCTTCTTGACGACAACAGGGAGCTTTTCGTTCCCGAGCTCCAGGTGTCTGTGAAACCTCATCCGCATTTCATGCTCTTTGCAACACAAAATCCTCCCGGTATTTATGGAGGAAGAAAGGCACTTTCTCGTGCATTTCGCAACAGATTTATTGAGCTCCATGTCGACGACATCCCAGCGGACGAGCTTGTTACGATACTTGAGAAGAGATGCGACGTGGCTGCAAGCTATGCCGGGAAGATGGTGGAAGTCATGAAAGATTTGCAGCGGCAACGACAGGGTAGTAAGGTGTTTGCTGGGAAGCACGGCTACATAACTCCACGAGATCTCTTTCGTTGGGCTGAACGACATCGTCAGAGTGGCATCTCATACGAAGATCTTGCTTGGAACGGCTACGTTCTGCTCGCAGAAAGAATTCGGGATTCAAAAGAAAAGGTGGTAGTGCAGACAAGTTTGGAGAAGCAATTACGAGTGAAGATAAATCCTGATAGAGTTCACGAGGTACTTCCTTTTACGTACTTTCTCACTCAGACAGTCTGTGTTGTAGTTTACTGGAGCTTCGAGCGTACAACAAACTCAAGATGGCAAAGCCGCAGTCTTAGGAAGGTATCGATCGTCATTGTAGTGTCGTTCTTCGCCTTCAACGTGTGAAATTCTTACAGAATCGTCTGGATGAAAAGCATGCGGCGATTGTTCTATCTCACGCAGCAGTGCAACGAGCATAATGAACCTCTTCTCCTCGTCGGTGAAACTGGATGTGGAAAAACTACTGTTTGCCAGCTACTCGCGCAGCTGTTGAAACAAAAGCTTCACATTCTAAATTGCCATCAACACACAGAGACATCTGATTTTATTGGCGTATGCTGTTGTCTAATGAATTTCCATTGTGCTCACTTTCTATTTACGCAGGGGTTTAGACCAGTTCGGGGTAGGGAGAAGATCGCAATGCGTTATGATGATGCAGTATGTACGCTAAATTCGATGGGATGCTTCTCTAATAACGTAAGCATCGCTGGAATGTTTTGTTATACTTTGAGCTGATACTTGTTTTGCAGTTGTCCTCGAAGATAGAAGACTCCGGGGCGACTATCGACATTGCTAGGCGTGTATTGAAGTCCGAAGAAGTGCTCATAAGCTCTGAGGAGAAGGCTGTTCTCCATTCAACAGTGACAACCCTTCAAAAGCTACGGAAGGAATGGCAGTCGCTCTTCGTTTGGCATGATGGTCCTCTTGTAGATGCCATGCGGAATGGGGATTTATTTCTCGTCGATGAGATCAGCCTAGCAGACGACAGCGTGCTAGAGAGGCTTAACAGTGTTCTGGAGCCAAACGGCACTCTCGTACTTGCGGAGAAAGGTGGTTCCGACGTTGAAGAAATTATAGCACACCCGAAATTCAGGTTGATGGCAACAATGAATCCTGGTGGAGATTTTGGCAAGAAGGAGCTGTCTCCGGCACTAAGAAACAGGTTCACTGAGGTCTGGGTGCCACCAATTTGCGACTTGGATGATTTAAGAAGTATAATTTTGGAAAGGTTGGCATATGTTTTCCTGTTGTTTGCTATACTGACATTCTGTGTCACAGGCTAAGCGGATCGGAAGTGGAGTGCCTGGTAGAACCGCTTATTCAGTTCTGGCAGGTAAATGTTTGTCTGCAGCGTTAATCTTGTATTCTAAAACTCTTTGATCAGTGGTTTCAGCAGCGTCAAGAAATCTCGAAAACATTGTCCGTGAGAGACCTTCTTTCGTGGATAACGTACATCAACAATGCCGCCCCTCAGATTGGCAAGTACGCTGCTTTTATTCATGGAGCGTTTCTAGTCCTCCTTGATGGTGTTGGATTGGGTACGATCGGAATTACGTTTTATATGTATGTTTCTTATGTTATTGTTTCACTACAGCATCTGCTCTATCAAGCACAGCTCCAAAGAATTTGAAAGAAAAGTGCGTCGACTTTCTTTTAACTCTGCTTCCTGAGGTATGCTAGATACCCTTTTTGACAGGCTTTTGATCTCGAAGTTGTTCAGGAATTCAAATCCGAGGCAGAGAATGCATGCGCTCTTGACAAAGGTTTTTATATAGAAGCTGATACCAGTCGTTCAAATTCTTTTGGGATTCATCCGTTCTATATATCAAAGGGCAACATTGACAGTCAAAACACTAAATTTGAGTTCAACGCACCGACAACAAGACGGAATGTCATGAGAATTTTACGAGCAATGCAATTGAAAAAACCAGGTGAATCTTTTTTGACGTTGACGTTATTTCTCATTTTGGGTGTGGGAGTGCAGTCTTGCTTGAAGGAAGTCCCGGTGTCGGGAAGACAAGTTTAGTGTCTGCGCTAGCGGCTGCCTCTGGACATACAGTTGTTCGAATTAACCTTTCTGAGCAGGTTCGTTAGCTTCTGTTCGTGCGTTTCTAGTAACATGCTGTGTTATACTGAATACAGACGGACATCCTTGATCTATTTGGCTCGGATTTACCTGTTGAAGGTGGCAAAGCTGGTGAATTTCAGTGGTCAGATGGAGTATTTCTACAGGTGTTTACTCTTCTACTTACCAACTCTGTATTAATGCTTAAGTTTCTAGGCCCTGAAAGCTGGGAATTGGGTGCTTCTTGACGAGCTTAATCTTGCTTCTCAATCTGTCCTCGAGGTATCAAACTCAGGGTATTTGTTGAGTTTTTTTTAACATTGTTGCTCTACGCAGGGGTTGAATTCGTGTTTGGACCATCGTGGTGAGGTCTTCATACCCGAGCTGGGCTTGACATTTGAGTGCCCGCCAACCTTTCGATTGTTTGCTTGTCAGAACCCTCTGCACGAGGGTGGTGGCAGGAAAGGGCTTCCGAAATCGTTTCTCAATCGTTTTACAAGGGTAAGCACTTCTAGTTTAGTAGTACACTGAACCCGATTTGCTATTCAGGTGTACACCGAGCCTTTGACATCCGACGATTATTTTTTTATTGCTCGAGCACTGCATCCATCAATCCCAGAGGACATTCTCTTAAAAATGATAGAGTTCAACAGACAGCTGTACTATGAAACCATGATTTTGCACAATTACGGTCACTTAGGCGCACCTTGGGAGTTTAATCTGCGCGACATTTTGCGGTGGTGCACTCTTATAGAAGGTTTGCTTGTTTTAACGTTTCGGGGTTGAAAGTAAATATACTCTTGCAGGTTCTCCTTTCTGTTTTCGGACCGAGTACGAGATAATGTCGCATTTCGTTCAGCTCGTCTATATTCAACGGTTGCGAACTCTAGAAGATCGAGATGCCGCGGCAAACCTTTTTAAGCGTGTTTTTGGGAATCCTTCTGCTAGATACGCACTACCAGACATCATAATGTCCGCGAAGAATATCACAGTTGGACTGGCACACTTGAAGCGGATGGATCTCGGGAGTTCTAGAAAGGATAGCTTGAAGCACCTTCAGGTCCTCTCTGGTACTGGAAGTACATTGGAGTCGATCATGCATTGCATAGGGAAGGGGTGGATGTGTTTGCTGGTTGGTCCTCCCAAGTCAGGTAAAACTACGATGGTTCGCACGCTGGCGGAGCTTACCGGGAATTCTCTCTTCGAGTACAACATGTCGGGTTCTACAGACACTACAGAGCTTCTTGGCTGCTTCGAACAGCATGACACATCTCGCTGCATACGGGAAGCTATCGCTGCTGCAAATGTTTCAGCTCAAGCGGTTTGTAGTTTCTTTTTATCTCAGGCCGTTGGGGATTACTCACCAGACAGAAGGATCGGTATAGTTAAAAATATTCTGGCCAGCTGGTCTACACTTCAAAAGACTCAGGTGTTTCAAGTCGATGGCGCAAGAAAATCCACCGTAAGTATGCTGAAGCAGTTTTTGGAGCAGCTTCAAACAGCTCTTCCGAGTACTAGTGGGACATCGGATTTCGGCCTCGGAAAGCTCCGGACATTGTTAAGTGCACTGGATATTAAGCGGGAAGGCAACGTTGGTCGTTTCGAATGGATTGACGGAGACCTTTTGAGAGCAGTGGAATGCGGAGCATGGGTTCTTCTAGAAAATGCCAACCTCTGCAATCCCACGGTATGCATTATGCGTTTTATTTTAAAATTTTCATTCGAGTTTTTGTTTTGCAGGTGCTGGACCGGCTAAATTCACTTCTTGAGTCGAGCGGCAGTCTCATGGTTAACGAGCGGGGTCTTGTCCACGGCCAGGCTATGGTGGTTAAGGCTCACCCCAACTTTCGTCTTTTCCTGACACTGGATCCGGCAAATGGCGAAGTCTCGAGAGCAATGCGTAATCGTGGTGTGGAACTATACATGATACGAGACATCGAACCCGAAACTGAATATCACGATACCAAACGCGTGGTAGAGTCTTTCGGAGTCCCCGGGCTGCAGCTTGTTGATGCAATAACCAGGCTACATTTGGAAGTAAGGTCGCTTACGAAGGGTCATCCTTTCGGTATTACTTACCGGGAGCTGGGCCAGTGGTTAAGCTTGCTTCAGGTTCTACTTGAACGGGGTGGGAACTTCTATTCGAGCATGGTATATAGCTGGGAGCAGTCATATTTGGCTTGTATCACTGCGGAGCTACAGTCGAGTGCCAGGGTTATATTTCAGCGCCAGATATGCTCTCTAGAGCTTACATATGAAGCATCCTTTTATGTTCCCGGGGGATGGCCATCACCACTGTCTCTTCGAGACTATTGCTCAAGGTCGCAGGAAGCTGTTGTCAAGCGGGACTGCAGATATGTCGAGTACATCGCATCCAAAATGCAGGCGTTGGAGATTATGTTTCAAAGCCGCGCACTGTTGCGGTCTCCGTCCGGAACGTCTGCTCTGCGCGAGTGGCTATGGAGCATCAAGGATGTCAGTGTACATTTCCCTCAGAAGTTACTGAGATACTTGCAGACTTCAGAACACGGGGTTGATTTACCGCTTACTACCAGCGTCAACTTTGCAGAAATGGAGAAGCAGCTTGAATTTGCGATCTCATGGGCTTTGGAGCAGGCACCGGTCTTTGATACTCAACGCCGGGTTCAGTGGCTCCAGAACCTTATTGGAAAGCTAGCAGTCAAGCTTCCAAGGATAGTCAACTGCTTGATGGTGCTAGAAAAAGGCCTCGGTACCACCGAGCTTGGCGGCCACCTCGACAACAAAGTAATAACTCTGGTGAAGGAGCTAAGAGACACATGGAATAGCTTCAAGGGTATGATGGATTCAGAGGGAACAGGCTTGTCCTTCGTGAACCAGAACTGCCTTATCGAGAGTGACGCTCGATTGGAGGGCATGCGAGAGGATGGGAAAGTATTATGGAGGCGGCTTATAGCGACAGCGAGCAAGGTGACATCGTTAAGGCGATGGTATCTCCAGTGGAAGACGGAAGATCAGTTTCTCCAGTCAGCTTTGAGCGCTCATCAGACGGCAAGTCCCATAATGCAGTCATATCTCCGTCATATGCCATCGCTGGGAGCCGCTGCTAATGTTTGTAGCGGGAAGTTTACGTGGCTATATCCGCTATTGCTCTCTATCAGAAGGGTTGAGGAAGCACTTGTGGTGCTCGAAAGCGGCTCATCTATTGAGCTCGTATTGTTTGACTCTCATGAGTCACTCTGGGGAGCCATACAGGATCCAAATGCCGAACTGGACTTTGTTCGGTTCTGCTGGAAAACGATGAAGCACAGCATCTTAGAGCTCAACAAGAAGGTTCTTTCTACTTTGTTTTATGTCTTTGCTTGTCTGAACGTTCTGATTTTACCAGAATAATCTCCGGGACGCAGTCCAGGGTGCCTTCAACCTTGTGCCAGCGATGGATGCGGCCTTAAACGTTGGAAATGCAGGATGTGCAAAGCCATATTTATGGAAGTATGGTGGACATCCACAGGTCCCTCATTCCGTTGAGTTTTTCGAATTGGAACGCAGCATGTTAGCTTTATCTGAAAGCTTATGGATCGGAGGTATGATGTTGCGGTATTTAATTTCTGGTTATAATAGGATTTTCCAGAGAGCCAAGAGAAGCTTTATCTGCGTTCGGACTCAAAATTGTGGCTGATGATTCTGGAAGGTAAGAGTTTCGTTGTCAATACTCGCTATCGCAATTCTCGATCTGCTGACAGGATTGAGCATGATATCTTGCATTGGTCGTTCTGGTGGAGCCTATGGTTTTAACACCGCTGTGGAGATGGGGGAGGTAATCTACCAAATTGTCTATACTGTATTGCTTATTTCTATCATACTTCCTTACAGGCGGTCTCGAAGAGGCTAAACTCTGAACGTGCAAAACTACCATCTTCCGAAAAGCAGCTTATACCGTTCATCAAATCGGACATGCATCACACACCGCAAAGCTTTTGCAGTTCTGGGTGTCACAAAATTGAAAAGTTCTCGAGAAGTCTTCTTTTCTGGTCAACTGGCCAAGATTTTTGGCAAAAGTTGCATCCTCTTTCTCGCCATCGGGCTTTATTGCTGGATGGAAGCCTTATCTCAAAGTTTTTACCCTCAGTTGCGGAGTTTACGTATAATGAAAACTATATGGAGTTGTTCGAAAGAATGGTAAGTTTCTGTACACAACTCAACGTTTTTATTGGGCCTTCTCATTTTCAGGGGCTACAGAGCAAGCTTCTACATCATGTCGTATCGTTTTCCATGAAAGTCTTGTCAAGACCTTCTGTGGACTTTGTTCCACACCAGCACGTTATGTGGCTGCTGGATTCTGATCCTTCGAATGCATCTGGTATTATCTTGTTTAATATTTTCGCGACTCTTACGTTAGACCACAGCGGCGAGTGTTAGTCATTATACGCACGAGATGGTTTTCAACTGGCACACAAACTTATGGAACGATTCATCCTTAAAAGCTGGCGCGTCCCTCCGTTTTCGGCCTTCAGAAACAATTTTTGCTGCTTCTGTAACGTAAGCGCTTTTGCATTGCTCTTGATAGGTGCTCACGTTTGTATTTTGTGTAGTGATGGTTATGCAAAAGTGAAAGAGTATCATGCTAAATTGCATCAATTGAAAATTGGGCTAGAAAGGTCCTGGTTTTCTTCATATTCTTCTATTTCAGACCCCGTAACCGCTGATATATCATACCTTAGCGCTGTTATACAACAGGTATATGAAAATTGTTTGCAGTACTATATCCACAGTAAACTTTCAGGTTATGTATTCCCATAAGAAGTTATTTCCACAAATGGACTTGATTTTTCCGCTTCTTTCCGCTCTTCATGCTCACATCCAAGAGGTAAAAACCTTCTAGACAATGTCAAGTATTCATTTCAGCTTTACAGAATCACGAACCTCCTACAGATAATACGAACGACTTAATGAAGCTGCTTCAGATCCCACAGGATCCAGAGCTGCATAATCTCGTACAAGAGCTAATGGTACCATGCATCAAGCAGATGTATTCCACTCATTGGCATCAACTGGCTTATTACGGTAGTATTTCAAAAAACATGCATTTGCGACTTACATGTTTGTGTTTCAGACCGTTTGGTCAGACTCGGTCAAGTGTGGCTACTTGTCGGAAGAATGCGATTGGAGTTGTTAATGCTTGGTTACGGAGTCGATCCCATGGCGAAATACTTATACAAACATCAAGTTTTGTCTGACAAACTGAAGATCGTCAACATTGAAATACAGGTCTGTCATTTACGAAAGACTGGGATGGTAATTCATATATACTAATGCAGGTGAGGAACGAGAGCAACTTATATGTCAGAGGCGGCAAAGACAACGGAGCGACAATGAAAATGTTGGTCAACAAGCAAAAGAATATCGAGGAGAACGTGGAGAAACTAAAGTCCAAGGTCTGAAAATTCCTAGCTTTTCTTGCTATTTGAGTCTAACATCATGTTTTTTACAGCTCGTTTCTCGTCCATCGCCTCCTCAATTTTATGAGTTCATCAAAGAGGCTGGGCACTTTATGCAGTCAGTCGGAAGTCTCGCCAGAATTAACATGTTTGTTGAGGCGCTGGCTCATGGCATGGATGCAGAAATGGCGGTGAAGGGAATCACTGCCTGGCAGGACAATGCCACAAGTTTTATTCGGCAGCTCTCAACTCGGTTCAACTCTTACCGAGACGTTATTCAACCATTTCAGCTGGGCATATACGAGTTGAAATATGGTCTATCCCTTCACAGTGTAGCTTATGAGAATGGTCGTGTATTTGAAAAGCGTGGAGACTTGGACACTTGCACTGTACGTAAAAAATTCTCTCTTTCTTTTGTTGCTAAAACTGTGTTTGCAGAACGCTGTATGCTCTCTTATGTGCTTTCCGTCTATCCCGCGGCTAGACAGTTTGGTGCCTGCTCTGGACGTTGTAGGCGAGCTAACGGATCATTCCGTGGAGAAATTGATTGAGAAGGCGATCCGTTTCAAGTCTGATCCTAAGGTTTGTAGCTGTTCTTATGTCGCAACGTTATTCATGTTTCTGTTACAGTCTTCGGAGCTAGAACTTAAAGTTTCTGTCCTCGTGTGTGCACTCTCACGTCTTACACGTGAGTTCGTGCATTCGAAGACTATTACAGACAGCCATATGAAGGTCAGTTTCTTTGTCAGAACCTACGTTACTGAATTGTTCGCTTTCAGCTTCTTCAAGATTTGGTAAACTCAATCATAGGAATATGGAAACAAATACGTGCATTTCGCAAAGCGAATGATACGGAGGATTCGGACCAAATTCGCTTCGTAAGTTTAGGTGGAGAGCCGGAGGAGGATGAAGCAACATTTAAGGAGCTCTTTCCATCGTATTGGTCTGTGGAAAACTTGGATGAAGTTTCGGATGGATATGAGGTAAGCTACAGGTTGTGACAGTTTGTGTTTTAACAAATTTCACTTATAGGTCCAGAAACTGGTTCCTACTAATGACCATGAATCCGATGCGGCTTTTAAAGCAAAGCTAGCCTACCTCCAAGACGAAATGTTGAAAAAAGTTCTCTGGATGTACCAGCGTATTTTTTCCAAACTGGAGGTTTGAATCGGGTTTATTCATAATCCTTTGTTTGATATTTTTCTTGTGCAGATAAATAAAAGTGTTTCTGATGACGATCGGATGACAGAGTTTTTAATCTCCTACAACAGTGGCAGATGCATTTTAGAAGGTTAGTTTGCAGTTTTTGTACATGCCTTTTTTGACGCTCGCATAATGTGTGTGTAACAGGAATCGGACATGCTGTACCTCAGTTCCTCGATACGCTTCTGTATCCAGCTCATTTGGTAAAATTAAGCCTGGAACACGGGAACTTCTCGAATAAAACGATCGACAAATTTAATATTTACAAGGTAACTTGCCTACGATGGTTTCTTCTTTTCAATCTCGACGAGTTTTACAGGACGCATTTCCCTCTGAGCTTTCGAAAATGCTTGGACCGATTGAAAATCTAGCACGGCGAATCCATATTCTATTGGAAGAATGGCCTGAGCATCCAGTGCTACTTCAAGTTATGCAATTCGTGGAGTCGCTGCTTTCCATTCCTGCGTCTTCTCCAATTGTCAAGGTACGCCTTCGTTTTTTCCATTCCCAAACCAATTAATTGTTTCGTCTTTATCAGGCGGTTTCAGGGTTGGAACTGGTCCTTGCCAAATCTCAAGTTTGGGAGCAGAGTGCTTCAAAGCAGTTTTCTTTGGCTGGTAAATTTTCCTGCCTTAAGGTCGTAACCCTCTTGTAAAATCTTCTTGTAGAGGTGTTGACACAAGTTTCCAAGCTTGTATTGCAATGGAGACGAATGGAGCTTGAAAGCTGGCCGCAGTTATTAGAAAATGTGGATCGGCAGCAGGAAGCAAATGCGAAGCAGGTGATTAAGTTTCGTAGCTTTAAACTTGTAAATACTTAATTCTTCGTTGTGCAGATGTGGTTTTCTTTTTACGATTTACTTCATCAAGGTGAAGGCTTACAGGTGAAAACTATTATTGAAAGGTCTGTTTTCTAGTTTCGTGAACGCTTTCTTACATGCAATATTTCAGCTGCGAAGAGTTTTTGCTATCCTGCCCGATAGGCGAGTTTCAATGTCGCTTGGGGCTCATTGAGGCGTTTTATCTTGAATTTGGGTTCTTTTCTCGCATCAGGTACTTTTCTTGTGTTTCTGTTTCTTTATAGATATCTCTTTTGTTCAGTTATATCCACGAAAGGCTGTCATTTACTTTGTACAATTTGCTACATTATTATTCGCGATGGATACCAGCGTAAGAACTTTTTGACATTTGGTTTCGCTTACAGTGGTTATTCAGAGTTCAAGATGCACTGAGCTCTGGAAAAGAGCCGTTTTCAAAAGAACTGGCCGACTTTGCTCGACTCGCGAAGTGGGAAGACTACAATTACCATTCAGTAGTTTCCACGGCAGAAAGGTCTCACAGGAAGCTGCATAAGATCATTCGAAAATACGAGGTTTGAAGTCTGTTTCATTTAAGCTCGATTAACATTTTCCTGTGACAGGATTTTCTTAAACGCCCTGTTATTGATTTATGCAAGAGCAAGCGTGTAGAGGATCGATCTAGTAGGAAAATTAACGAGGATGCTTTATCAGAGCCGTAAGTTTTACAATTTCTAAAGCACTCAAAATGATCGCTGCCGTAGGTTCTCTCTGGAGAAAAACTGGACGCAATTTTGCTCAAGCACTGTTGGCACCATGATGTCCATTTCGAAAGGTAGTCCTATGACATTCATCACCGTTACCTTAATCGTTTTTGTAGGTGATGGTGTATTCGAGACAAAGATGCTAAATACTGCTCGAAAACTCGGGCCACTGTTGTCCAGCTGCTTTTTTGAAAATTCAGCACGTGAAATGAGGCAAACCGGACCGGCGTTACTGGATGCGTTAGCCGTCGCAGTTATATCTCGATCCACGGAATTGAGTCAGGAGAATAAAAGCCGTGCTCTGAAGAAGAAGGCGCTTGTTGATCTTCGAAAAAGCCTCAAGGACTTAGGCATATCTCAGTATAAGTCTGAAGTGCCAAAGGTAATCTTTTTGGCTCATTTTCCGTGCTAATCTTCTGTGCTCGCAGGATATGCGTGGGATTGAAAACTGGTTTCAACAGCCCGTAGCCGAGCTTAGCACGCTAACACGTGACAGTTTAGAAGCTGCGGACCGGTGTAATATTGCGTCACTTTTGAGACAAAGTTCGTTGCCAGTTTGGGAGCGAGCAAAGGATTACTACTTTGATAATATTGCTCTGTTACTGGCGATCAAAAGCTCAAAATGCCACGAAGACCTTGACCACGCAGAGGTACGTTTGTTTCTATGTTGATGATATCCTTTATAAATTGCATTCACTAGGTTGATAAATTCATTCGTTACATGGAGTATACGCTTTATTTGCAACAAAAACAGCGGCGGAAAATACATGAGTTCTCTTCTAGCCTAGCTGCAGTCGCTGAACTTACCAGACAACTGGAAATTCTTGGTATGCATTCAAATTTTACAGTCTTGAAATCCATCTCATTTTTTTAATGCTTAGATGCCGAGCCATTACCAAAGCAGGGATCTACACGCCACCTTATGTGGCAGCAAAAGGTGGATTACGTTCTCTCCATCTGTTTCTGACATTGTCTTTTTGTTGCAGAGTTTACTTGATGAAATTTGTCAGCAGTTTGCAGAATTAAAGCTTTTCTTTGATACTGTACAAAAGGTTGAATCCGCAGCGAAACCTGAAGCAGATGTTCTCAGTGTCAAGCTCAAAGCTTGTTTGGAAAAACTTCAAACTTGCAAGGTAGCCTCTCATCTGATCTACTTGAAAGTTATTAACATTGTAAATGCTCAGGCTGTACTCGATAAACAACTTGTTCTTGGAACTTATGTGGCGAAAGGAGATGATAGTCTTCTTATTATTACCAGAGACATGTCTGAAATCGTTCATAATAACTTTAAGGTTATTGATGAAACGGAGCGTACAATCAGCATGCTGATATCGGAGAATTCTCATGGAGATGGTCCTGTCAATATTTTGCTCACACCAGCTCAACAGCTGCTTCAGAAAGTAAGCATTTCGAGTTTTATTTCTTAATCCAACAATCTTTTTGCAGGGCGTGGAAGTGTCCAAGGTGCGTCCTGCTGCTAAAACATGCTCACCCTCCGAAAATGGACTAGCCAGCATTGCATCACGATATGATGAAGCTCTTTCTCAAGTTCGGCTTGCGGGCCAAAAGGTTCAAAGCCTGGCAGATGCTTCATTGCCAGCCGAGAATACCGTCCATACGTTTGAATCGCTACTGGAAGAATCGGTGGCAGCTCTACGCCTTGATCAAATATATAAATCTTCGGTGGGCACGATTAATCATGTGGTAAGCTTCAAGTATTTGGAACTTGTTACTATTTCTTTTTACAGGTGAAGCTTTTGGACGATGGACTAGATGAGTTGGGGCTTCCTTTCGTAAATTTTGTACGCTCCTTGTCCTTACTTCTGAACTTACTGGTTCCCGCGGGTGCAACAGTGCTGTGTGATTATATCGAGTTACATAAAGCGGTACGTCTAAAAGATTTTTCTTGGTTGTGGGTTAATCAATGCTTCATGCAGACTGCAAAGCTGGGCTACATAATTTTAAGTGTGCTCAGTCAACTGAATCGTGAAGGGTTTTGTGGAGCTCGTGAGGAAGATGGCGAAGAATCAGACAAGTTTCAGGCCGCTGAAGGGACCGGTATGGGAGAAGGCCAAGGAACAAAAGACGTCAGTGAACAAATAGAAGACGAGCAACAACTCCTTGGAAGCGAGGTGAAGTCTTTTTTTTACTGAGTGTTGTTTCAACGTTTTTCTATTTGGGCAGGATGCTCCCACGGATCGCAAGGATAATGAGAAGCTTGACAAAGGAATCGAAATGGAGGAAGACTTCAACGGAGAAATGTTTGACGTTAGTGAAGACGAGTCAAACGAAAGCGACGGAGATGAAGATGGTGATGAAAAGCTGGAATCAAAAATGGGAGAACAAGGTGAAAATGAAGAGGTGGTTGATGAGAAGATGTGGGACAAGGAAGACGAGTCTCGGGAGGGAACGGAGTCAGTTGAGCAGGGACAGTCTGTTAAAGACGCAGGTTATGACGATTTGGAGTTACGGGGTAAGAACGAAGATTCGTCAGAAGACAAGGAGGAAGACTTGGACGAAAAGAAGCCGATAGACAAGGAATCACGGGTTGAGTCCGAGGACAAGGAGAATCACACCGAGGATAAAGAAGACTTTCCGGAAGACAGCGCATTTGAAGATCCCAGTGGCATACAACCATCACCTGCAGAAATAGATGTTATGGAAGAGGAAATCCCGGCCGAACAGGAACAAGATGCTAACCATGAGGAATGTGCTCCAAGCATGGAGGAAGAGCAAACGAATAATGGCGTCAACAATTCCTTACCAGAGGACATGGACCTGGATAAAGTAGAAGAAGAGTCCGACGATGACGAGAATGGAACAGGAAACGATGGAGCTAAAGAAGCAGAAGTTGACAAAACTGAGGAACCCGCTGGAACAGACGAAAGCAAGCAAGCGGAGCCTTCCAGTGCCGAGGAAAAGCAACATGATTCTCAACTTGAGAACCTGGACACAAACATGGACGATGCGGAAAATGCTGCCGCCGACAACAAAAGTGCCATGCCATACGGCATTGCGACAAAGGCGAAAAATAATCCTTTGTCAAAAAGCCTCGAGGATGGTACAAAGAGGGAGGAACCTTCTGCAGGGGACAACAATCACGAGCAGCAAAACGAAGCAGCTCCAAGTGCCGGGGCAGCCAGCAGTGAAAACTATGCTTCTTCTTCCAGCTTGCCGACAGAGTCCGAAAAAAATGAAGACCTCAGTAGGCTCGATGCTAATCCCTACAGAAGTCTTGGCAATGCTCTAAAGAAATGGCAGCAGAGGGCCAGGATGGTGGAAGACGAACAAGATAAAGAAGCTGATAATTCTCTCCAAATGGACGTACCAAAGGAGACCTGTGAGGATGACACCTACAAGTACGTTTCAAACGACGAGAAGAGCAATGCACAAGCAATGGGTGCGGCAACCGACGAACAGATGAAGCTCTCTGACGACTTCAGCAAAATGATGCATGAGAGCGACGAGATCATGGAAGAAGAGAACATTCCCCTCGACGAGTCCCGTCCTTCCAAGCAACCTCAGCAGACACTGACGGAGATGATGGACGTGGACGACAAAACAGCGTATACAACGAAGAAACCATCAGAACGACAAGAGGCTCCTGAATCAGAGGAGGTGATGGCGGCAGCACGTGACGAAGAAGGATTCCACGCTGATGGAAGTTTCATCTCTTTTGAAAGGCCCGAAAACTTTCAAAAGAATTCGATGTGGAACGACGATACTCAAGTCATTCGGCAAGAGTTGGAGACGGAAGTGATAGCAGGCATCAATGACGTGGAGAGTGCAAGAAAAGTTTGGCAAAAATACGAGCAACTGACGGGCCGACTGTCTCAAGATCTGGCTGAGCAGCTCCGCTTGATACTGGAGCCGACGCTGGCCTCAAGACTCCAGGGTGACTACAAATCGGGCAAACGCTTAAACATGAAGAAGGTGAGTGACAGATTGTCTTGATCCTGTACTAAACCTTGAATACTTGATTTTTCAGATTATACCGTTTGTAGCAAGTGAGTTCAGGAAAGATAAGATATGGCTGCGACGAACAAAGCCCAACAAGCGGCAGTACCAGGTCGTCGTTGCTCTAGATGACTCTCGGAGCATGTCGGAGAGCCACTGCGGACACATGGCTCTGGAGGCGCTGCTTACAATATGCAGAGGAATGACGCAACTGGAAGTCGGCCAAATGGCCGTGGCCAGCTTCGGGAAGAAAGGAAATGTTCGTCTTTTGCATGATTTGGATCAGCCTTTCTCAACTGAAGCAGCAGTCAAGGTACTTTTTGTACAATCTTATGGTTTTCTCATGGTCTAATGTTTTGGTGTTGGCTTTTTGGACCAGATTATATCGGAGTTTTCGTTTCGCCAGGACAATACAATATCAGATGAGCCAATGGTCGATTTGCTACAGTACCTTACACGTTTCTTGAACGTGGTGGCGACTCGGTATGCACCGGCTGGGCAAAGGGATTTGCAGCAGCTGGTTCTGGTCATAGCTGATGGCCGGTTTCACGAAAAGGTCCGTCAATTCCACCGAACGTGTTGCCTCAGCTCACTCTCGTGTTTTCTGCAGGAAAGTCTCAGGCGATGTGTCCGCGACGCGCTGAGCAGAAGGCAGCTGTTAGCTTTCCTGGTCCTGGATAATCCCGAAGAATCTCTCTTGGACATGCAGGTACGCTTCTCCTCTGATACGAGTCCTTTCAATACAATGACCACAATTGTGATGCAGTCTGTTACGTTCGCAAATGGAGCACCGATGTTCTCAAAATACCTGGACACCTTCCCATTCCCCTACTACGTCATTCTAAAGGATATTGAGGCACTCCCCCGGACACTGGCAGATTTGTTAAGACAGGTACGCCTCTTTGTACGGCAAATATACTCTTAACTCTTGGAATTGACAGTGGTTCGAGTTGATGCAACACTCGGCATCATAGCTGTAAAATGAAAAACGAGACAGAGAGCTCAAAGTTGGTCGATTTGTGGAAGAAGAAGAAGAAGACAAAGTCAAGCTTCTCGATGCTTGTCAGTTCTTAGCCGAAAGGAACTTGCCCACATGCGTAGGTACAAGGCACAGCTAGTCTCTTCGCAGGACAATACCAGGTTAGCCTTTTCCCTCTCTCTATTTTTCTCTTTTCCCGATATTATCAATTTCCATTTTCGTATGCACAGGCCTTTTGGCAATTGTATCGCCGACATTTTGACAGTCGACACAGGTATACATAGTTCCTCCAGATATTACTGAAAACTTTGTCAAATTTATAGCGAACGAACAAGATATACACACGCACAAATGTATACAGCTCCTCTTTTTCACGAATGCTTGCTCTTCAAGTGGTCGGCGGGCAGAACGAGTGGTGGCTGCTGGCTGCTTTGATCCGGCCGCGTGACCAGCTTTGGCGTCGACGAGAACAATTTCTGGCTGGATCCAAGGCGCCCCACCTTTTCCAGCTTCTTGACGAGCACACGGATCATATCAACGTAAGTCACAATCCCCACCACCGTGTTCTCGCTCTCTGACTCCGTCACCCAGATGTAGCCGCATTGGTGCGACAGTGCTTGCGCCATGACCGCCGCCAGCGAGCTCCACGGCCGGCACGTCAAGCAGCCGCGGCTCCCAGAGTTTTGGAAGCTCGAAGTCAGTCCTCCAGATCTATGGGAGTCCTGCTCCGAGTCCGAGGACTCCTCGCAGGAATCCAGCGGCGTCGGGGGTTTTCCTGCAACTTGATCTTCGTCCGCCACCGCCGCCGCCGCCGCCGCCGCCACCTTTTGAGCGAGACGAGTTTCGATCAACTTTCCCAGGATCTTGGAGCTACGCTTGTTGCTTCCGCGGACGTACGAGAGGAAGTCGGCGGCGGAGAGTGTGGCGAGAGCCGCGGCGACGGCGGCGAAATTCTCGTCGTGGCGGCGGAGCGTGGACGACGAGATATCGCCCACCAGCTTGAGCTTCCTCTGGTTCTCGGTAGTGGAAGACGCCGATGAAGGAGATGGTGATGGAGTTGCCGGGACGACGATTGCTACTGCGCTCATCGCCTGGGAGGCCTGGTGGATGATCTGGATCGCCTCGATCGCAGGGTCCTCGTGCTGGATGGAGGCAAAGCTGCGGTTGATGATCCCGAGCTCCTCGATGGTGAAGAGTGGAAGCGGGCAAAACGCGGCTATGCAGCTCATGAGGAAGCGCATCACGGCCTCCTGGCTGATCCAGCACACTTCCTTGCGAGGCCAGCGCGAGGATCCGCTGCTACTGTTCCTCTCGAACTCCATCGCGCGAGTGGATCGAGATCTCTTGGGGAGAGGGACAATGAGGTACTGCACGCCCTTGATCACGAGCTCCAGCGCCTTGGACAGTCTACACGATAGTGGAACATCCAATTCATGTAGAAGAAGGAATAATCTATCTACCAAATAGATAAAAGTACCTTTCGTGGAGATCCACGCGCTGGATCCAGCTCCTGTGCACCAGCCCGGCGATTGGACGCGCGAGCGCGGCCTCCAGATCGCACAGCAGGGTGTGATCCGCGGCGAGGAAGCAGAGGACGTCGAGATTGTTGACCACGCCCAGGCAATTGGCGAGATTGGCGTCCCACACGCTAATCTCCGCCACTCCCAGCTCCCGCGCCATCGCAATGGCGTCCCCGACGCTCGCATTGCAGGGGAGGCAGTGGAGCGGCGGCTTACCCAGCGCGAGATCGAACACCTCGAACGATTCCAGAAATTGCGTCATCCACACGCCAAAGGGCTCCAAAAAGGATGATCATCTTCATTTCGAAGAATATACTCCAGAGGAATATTATTTAAGATATTCTACCGCACCTAGAATATACTCTCGAGGGGGTATATTCTGGTATATTCTGACGCATTATAGGATATTCTACCGCTATAGGAATATGCCATGGCGGCTTGGAGCATATTCTCCGCCAACGAGAAAATCAAAAAAGTAAGAAGACCTACATTGTCTATCAGTTTGAAAGTAGCAGCGATTTCTTGTTGGCCGCGAGCTCCTCGCGCGCACGACGCTCACGGCGCGGCACCGGGATCTAGAGATTTCCCTCCGGATTCGCGACCGGCGGCGGGGCTAGGCGATCGATTCGATCTCTTTCAGCTCTTCCGGATCGGCGGATCTCGCGCGCGCGCTTGGTGGAGGTCACACGGCACTAGGTAGGGGCGGCGGCGAGAGGAGAGGCGCGGCGCGATGATGAAGAACAGCGGCGCGGTCCTGTCGACGACGGCGCTGCTGGTGCTGGGCTACGCGCTGTGCTCGAGCCTCCTGGCGGTGATCAACAAGTACGCCGTGACCTACTTCCCATACCCTAGCCTCCTCACGGCGCTCCAGTACCTCACCAGCGCCGGCGGCGTCCACCTCCTGGGCCTGGCCGGCCTCCTCCACCACGACGCCCTCGCCTGGGACACCGTCAAGCGCTTCCTCCCCGCCGCGCTCGTCTTCTACCTCGCCATCTTCACCAACACGCACCTCCTCAAGCACGCCAACGTCGACACCTTCATCGTCTTCCGCTCCTCCACGCCGCTGCTCGTCGCCATCGCCGACACCTTCTTCCGCCGCCAGCAGTTCCCCTCGCGCTACACGCTCGCGGCGCTGCTCGTCATCCTCGGCGGCGCCATCGGCTACGTGCTCACCGACTCGGCCTTCTCGGTCACCGCCTACTCGTGGGCCGCCGCCTACCTCGTCACCATCACCACCGAGATGGTGTACATCAAGCATATGGTCACCAACCTGGGACTCAACACCTGGGGCTTCGTCTACTACAACAATCTCCTCTCGCTCGCCATGGCTCCATTCTTCTGGATCGTCACTGGCGAGTACTCGGAGGTGGCCCGGGCGAGTTGGGAGAGCCTGTTCCAGTTCCAGGCCGTCTTCTCGGTGGCGCTCTCGTGCGTTTTTGGCCTGGCCATCAGCTTCTTCGGCTTCGCGGCCAGGAAGGCCATCTCGGCCACCGCATTTACAGTCACCGGGGTGGTGAACAAGCTGCTCACGGTGATTATCAACGTGCTCATCTGGGACAAGCACGCCAGCACCGTCGGGATCTTGTTCTTGCTGCTCACGATTGTTGGCGGGGTTTTGTACCAGCAGTCGACGGCCATGCCGAAGCCGAGTAGCCAGCCATCCGAGGTGGTGGTGTCCAAGCCGATGGAGAGTTTGGGGGACAAGGAAGAGGAGGCCGAGGAGGAGGAGGATGAAGAGGCCGGTTTCCTCAAGAAGTCGTCCGAGTAAGAAAACGTAGTGAGCGAGCGAGCGAGGCGTGGCAAGCTCACACTTTCCTCTCAGGTACCAATCAATTCTACTGCCAGTCTCTTTAATGTGTTTCCTGACGGAAGAAGTGACTCGTCTATCTATCTATCAGGATTCAGGTACTAGGACTGCGCATGGCATAAATAATCAATCAAGGTGGAAGAAACAACTTCAATTCCATCACCACCACGAACGACGTGGAGGCAAAAAAGTCTCGCTCGTTGTTGGACTGGATGAAATCGATGCATCAAAAGCTAAGCTAAGTTCTTTCTCTCCTGAAAGATTTCTTTTTTTCTTTTTTTTTCTTCTTCTCGGCGGAGAAACCAGAGCAAAAAAAATCTCTTTTTTTTTTATCATCAAAACTTGGATCCAAAAGGAAGAAAAAATACAGAGAAAAAGACTAGCTTATGATGGAGCAGGAGAAGAAAAAAAGAAAGTTTATGCTACAGGGATTTCTTTGTTGCTCCACCAATTCGGGGGAACAAAACGAACGAACAGACCAACCTTGGGTGTGTGTGTGTGTGTGTTTTCTTCTTCGTGTTCTTCCAAAGTTCTCGGGGGATCTTATTGCGAAAGAATATAAAGCAAGCCTCTCCTCGTGAATCTCGTGTGTGTGTCAATCATTCTCATACCTGCTGTTGCTGCTGCTGCTGTTGATACTGCCGGAGCTTCACACTGTTGTTGTTGCTACTGCCATTGTTGTCCCCAGATCCCAAGCTCGACGCCTTGACTGGAACGTCCTCCACCGGCTCGGGAAAGATCTCGCTCGACCCGGGCCTCCGGTGGAACGACTGCTCCCCTGTGATCGACCCCTGCGAGTGCGACGTTCCCGAGTGCTTCCTGCTGGGATCGCCACCACCGCCACCACCGCCACCTCCGCCACCACCCACGTATTCTTCCCTCAGCACCCCGGACGCGATCACGTTCTCCGACGAGCTGTGCCGCCAGCTCCCAAACAGCGACGCATTCCACGAGCTGTGAGACGACGTCCGGGAGCGCAGCGACGAGCTAAAGTTCTCCTCCCTCGTCACCCGCTGCGGGTTCTCCAGCGCCTTGAGGACGTGGCGGATCTGCGGCCGCTTGGACGCCCGGCCGTGGAGGCACAGCTTGGCGACGATGGCCATCGCCCACACCTCCTCGAGCAGGTCCTCGTCCACTATCAGCGACGGGTCCACCAGCTTCATTATTCCCTCTTTGTTGTGCCGGTCGATGAGTGGAAGAGCCCACTCCAGCCAGGCGTCGGCGTTTGGATCCGAGGTGCCACTGATGTCGAGCTTTCCCGTCACCAGCTCCAGCAGCACCTTCCCGAAGCAATAAACATCGTATGCACATGATGCCACCGCGGAGCCTGCTGTAAACAAGAAAGAAGCATGAGCAGCTGGAGACCTTTGGAAACATTAAATGTTTTCTCACCTTGATCGCCTTGCTCGGTCGTCCTGCAGCGACAAACGAGAAAACTTAGAACGACAGTTAAAGAAAGAATGCAACGAAAAGCGTTAAAAAAACTTACTGTGACAATCTCAGCAGCCGAGTTATCAACCCAGGCTGCGCTTCGCCTCCTTGCTCCCGCGTTTCGCTCAGACTTCCCAGCCGTACCTCAAACTTGTCATCGAGAAGAATGCTGCTCGCTTGTACATCCCTGCCATGGCAAGGAAGAAGGAAAATGCGCCATCAGCTTTTACGTAACAGCAACCTTTAAACTGCAAGAACGTACCTATGTACAAGTGGAGGGACGCACTCGTGATGCAAGTAGCTCAGGCCTTCTGCCACTCCAATCGCGATTTTCAATCTTGTGATCCAGTCCAAGGACTGCAATATATCCGCGGGTGGGCTTGGAACAACCTTTTTGTGTAGTGCTTGTCCCAGATCACCGTTGGGCATGTACTTGTACACCAAAAACTTGAGCTCGTCCATTTCCAGGCAGTGCCCGAGGAGAGGAACCAGCCTGGTGTGAGACGCCTTGCCGAAAACTTCGAGCTCCAAAGTGAGCAAATCCTTCTTCATCTTGGCAACTTCGATCCTCTTGACGACGACGAGCACGCCCCCGTCTAGAACACCTCGATACAAGTCGCCCGAGTGCCCGGCCTTGATGAAGTTGGACGAAGAAAACTCCTGAGTTGCCCGGACTAGCTGACTAAACGTGAACGACTCTCCGATACTCGACATCTTGACAGCAACGGCGGGAGGCACGACGGGTTGGCCCGTCCCGCTCGTCGTCGCTGCACCAGCGCCAGCACCCGCGGCGGCGCCACCAGCCATCGCCTCGTCCGATTTCTTTGGAGGCTCTCGAGCCGGCCGCCTCTCGCGCTTTCGTATAAGAAGAACCAGCGCAGCCACCAGGAGAACCAGCCCAAGACCACCAAAAGTTCCCCCCAGTATAACGGCAAGGTGGCGGGGCTTGGACTTTGATCTTCTCGTCGGCATTGGCGTCGGCAAGTTGAAAGACGAAGCGTTTTGGAAAACCAGGCCCCTGGCAGCGTAGAACGCCTGGCAGTCGCTCAAGGACCGCTGCCCGCTCGCATTCACGAAACAGTTCTCGCTAAGTATGGCGCCGGCCACGGTCCCTGCCGGCACTGTGTCGTTGAGAAAGTTGTCCGAGACGTTCAAGACGAGCAGTCCTCGCAGAGACGACACCGCCGCAGGCAGCGGCCCGTAAAACGTATTGTTGGAGAGGTCCAGAGACTGCAAACTCGAAAGACTTGCCAGCCCCGGCGGTATCGTCCCCGTGAAATTGTTGAGCGAGAGGTCCAAGAGCGTCAAGTTGCGAAGATCTTGCAGAGCTCCAGGCAGCTCTCCCGCGAGCAAATTCTTCCCGAGAACCAGCTCCTGGAGCGTCGACCACCCCGTGAGATTCTCGGGGACCGACCCGTCAAGCCTGTTATCGGACAGCCTCACGCTCCGCAAGCTCGACGAGGAGCTCACTGCCAGAGAAGCTGGAATGGGACCCGAGAAGATGTTGCCGCTCAAGTCGAGATCTCTCAACGATGCCATCCTCCCGAGCTCCGGCGGCAGCACCCCGCTGAGCATGTTTCCACTGAGGTCGAGCAGCTCGAGGCGGGAGAGATTCCCGACGCTGGCCGGGATTCCACCCATGAGATTGTTCCTTGCGAGCGACAGCCTCCGCAAGCTGCCCAGCTGACCAATTCCCCCTGGAACCGACCCATTGATCGAGCACGCCGAGAAATCCAACACTTGCAATGCCGAGAGCTGGCCAATCCAATCCGGGAGCGTCCCCAGCATCACGAATCCCGTGGCATTGAGCAGCCGCAGCGCGGGAAGTCCCTGGAGATTGTCCAGCGCCAGCGTCGGCCGCGCCATCCCCACCAGCGTCCTCTTCAACCCGGAGAGATAGATGCTCACCACCTGTCCATTCTCGCAAAGAACTCCTCTCCAATTCAGGCATGGATCCCGCGTCTTGGGCCAGTAAAAGTCCCGAATTCTCAGCGAGTACCTGAGGTGCCGCATCGCGTAGGCCTCGGATGCCAGCAGGGTCTGCGACTCCGCCGGTAGGATCGTGACGACGCCGAGAAGCGCGAGAATCGCCCATGCCAGCCCCAGTGACATGATAGCCCCCTATCTCCCCAGAATTGCGCACATTCCCCGTCCGGGCACCTGTCCTGCTAGATCTGTGATCCCATTGCCTCGTGAGTCGCGCTATCAGCTACGAAGAAGAGCTACACCACTCTGCCACTGCCGCTGCCTCGATCGATCGCCGACTCCCGGGGGATTTCATCACCCCGCGAGCACGGCACACGGTAATCCCGGTCCTATCCCCGATCCGGGCCCCGGATCGCCCCCAAAATCCACTTGCGATGCGTTGACCCGTGCCGCATTGGAATCCTACCCCGACAAGTAAAACCAAGAATGCTCCTCCATTGTTTGACCTCGCTCGATCCCCGCTCTAGCGCTCGCGATTCGCGACCGCGCGCCGCGATTCCCAGCCCCAGCTCCCTGCAATGTGCCAAAATCTGGCAGCTCGCAAACCTAGACGATGCCGCGCCGCTGCTGCCACTCCTGCCACCGCCGATCGCCACAGCGCGCATCCATCCGCCATCAAACCCTAGCGCGCGGCATGGGCTCCAGGAGCCAGGGCGCGCTCTCCAAGCGCTGCGCTCGCCAAAATATCACACACACCCCCCGGAACAAAGAGAGCCGCCATAGCCGTGAAGAGTTAAACTGGGTGGCCAGGTGTACGGCAGGCCGGGCTCTCCGTACGTGTTTGAACTAGCGGGAATTATGGAGAGGTAATCTTGTTTTTTTTATTCTCGCCTTCCCAGCTTTTGGCGATTTGGCCCGGTGAAACCTCGCCACCTTTTCTCTTTCCTCACTTTTTTCTTTCCTACTTTTTGTGTTCTCGCGGGCTCCACGAAGATTGACATCCTCCCTGGAAGCAACTATGTCGTGTACAAATATACCCTTCATTCTAGCGTGTCGTGTGCGTGTATACACACACCTCACGAGCTCGTCATAGATTCCATGGAATTTTGTTACACTCGCCTTAATCCTTGATCAACAGTGGGGAACAAGATTCTGTAATGCATGTCCCACTTACATGTTGCACCCATGCCACCCTACAGCACACACAAGAAAGGAGCACACAAGAGTACAGAGTTTGTTGCAAAGGGGAGTTGAATGATCTTTATGGGAGGATGGCCTTTTGTTGCTGCAGGTTTCTAGGGCTTCTCTCTTTTTGGGGCTGGCCCCAATGTGTTGGTTTTTCCTCTCCTCTGGTTGGCTTGGGGTGGGTGGCATTGGCAAGTGAGTGCAGCAGATTTTGTAATTCTAGCCATTATATATGTCATTGTCTCCATTCAATGCCTTTTTTGGGGAGCACAGCAGAAGAACAGCTACTTCTCCTTCTTTGCAAAAACAAAAGCGTTTCAATTCAATCTCCTTTGACAAAACCACCCTTTTTGTTTGAGTTTGGGGGGCCCTAAGTTGCGCCCTCTTTGACAAATGCAATTCCAATGTTTCTTCATGCGGTGGTCGCTTTATCACCATCAGCACGACCACCATTTTTTGGCTTGCTCCTAAATCTTCCCAAGGAACACGTTAACTATGCTAAGTCAATCTGAATTTGTCAAGCTTTGCATTCATTGAACTAGACGAGATGAAGATGAGGCGATCACAGAACGAGAAGAATATGAGAAGATTGCAAGTTTTAAAACCACCACTCCTTAGAATTCCGGCGGAAACTTTCTTCACACTCACCACCAGGCATTTGGTGCTCTTAAAACATATTACTAATACTATGAAAATGACTAAATTTATGATCAAGCACGTTGGCATTGGTCGGCACAGCTCACCAGAAAATTTAGAACTTGATCTTCTATTCTCGAAATGAGTACAATATCTAACGGGGCATGACAGTTAAAAAATCAAACTGTTGGCCTTGATTTTTCAAACCGGAAGCATATTCCGGGCATCGAATAATCCCTGCCACGTATCAGGTCAGGGAGCTATGGCGGCAGCTGTGACTGCGAGCTACCGGTGGCGCAGCGTTTGTTCTAGGTCGCCGACGCCATCCTCTCGAGCTAGCGCGTCTCTAGCGCCGAGATTCCTGCGCCGGGCGCTGCTCGGCGCCGCAGCGGCGGCGGCTGGAATCATGGAGCCGCAGGGCGGGGATCCAGCGTTTGCCGCCAGGTCCAAGAAGAGATCCGAGGCAGAGGAGGTAAGAATTCCCGGATATTTCGATCGATCTCCACAGGATTTCTCCCCCTTCTCGCCAGATTCTAAGAAACGTGGTGTGGCCGGAGGAATTCCCCTTCAAGAAGGAAGATTTCCAGCGTTATGACGAGTAAGCTCCACATTGATAGCTAATGCTCTCGCTAACATGGAAGACGTTCTTTGTTTCTCAAGATCACCAGACACGCTCTTCTACTCCACGCCCAGATTCGTCACTCACATTGACGACGCTGCGATCCAGGCGCTCACTAAATACTACGCAACAGTGTTCCCACCAAGCAACACTCCCGGCGTGGCGTTGCTAGACATGTGTAGCAGCTGGGTACGCGAGATTTTCTTCGCTTTCTTTCGAATTTTTTTTCGTTTCTTTTTGTTTCGCTAGGCCATGACGATCTGACTCACAGGTTAGCCACTATCCCAAGAACTACGCACAGCAACGCATCGCCGGACAAGGACTAAACGAGGAAGAGCTCAAACGGAACCCAGTAAGGTCCAGGCTTTATTTTTTTGTTCGTTCTTCCGTTCGCTCCTTTCCAGCTCCTTTAGAATAGAAAAATCTTTCACCTCGTTTCTCGAGAGCTTATATATATATATATTCTCTTTTCTTTCGCAGGTGCTAACAGAGTACTTGGTGCAAGATCTAAACCAGAATCCTCGCCTACCTTATGAGGACAATTCCTTCGACGTGATTACAAACACGGTAAAGCTGCTTGGCCTCTTTTCCAGGTTGCTTTTCCTTCGTTCTTTCTCCGTGTGCCTGGCTCCTCGCTTTATTCCATCTCTCTTTTCCTTCACAGGTCAGTGTGGACTACTTGAGCAAGCCCATTGATGTCTTCAAGGAGATGAATCGCGTACTTAAGCCCGGAGGTTTAGCCTGCTTGAGGTACGTGCCTCGCCTGCTTTCGGATAAGATAACTCTCGCCGCTGCCTCTAGTTTCTCGAATCGATGCTTCTGGACGAAGGCAGTCTCCGTGTGGACGGCAACTGGGGACGTGGATCACGTCTGGATTGTTGGTGCTTACTTCCATTACGCTGGACGATACGAACCAGCCGAGGTACTTGAAAAACCAAGCCTGCCTTTCTTCTCGTCAACGTTGCCAGAGTTTTCTTTCAGGCCTTGGATATATCGCCAAATCCCGGAAGAACGGATCCAATGTACGTCGTCTTCTCTAGGAAGGTGAGAGCGTGAACTGTAAACAACAACCGTAGTACTTGTCTATAAATGCCGAAGAGAACCTTCCATACGTCAAAAAAACCATATGTACAAATTGGTTTAGTCGCGCTCATGATTGTAGCGTCTGTTTCAACTCGAACAATTCAACCTGACAGGCAGTCCCCGTATGAATGAGTGACAACAAAAATGTGAGAAAACGAACGAACCTGTAGTTGAAAGGCTCTTGTGCGCTCGCTGGCCAGGACTCCTCGAGTGGAATGTAACTCCTACAACGTGATCATAAAGAGAAAGCTCAGCTATGCCGCAATGAAAGTTACCTTTTGAGTCTCCTCGAGCACCGCCTTTAGAAACGAGAGGTCGTGTTCCAGCCTTAAATTCTCAGAGTGGACGATGTTGGAAAGGCTGTTGGACTCTTCTTGGACGAGCTCCGACGCCTCGAGCTTTCTTCTCAGCCCTTCCACCTCCCTCGTTACCAGGCCGAGCTTTGCTTCGGCGGATTGCTGGCTCCTGGTTGCAAGGTTCAGCTTCTTCTCCAGCTCGTCCTTTTCTTGCTGCACTGCTTCGAGCTCTGCCTCGGTCAGGAGATTCTTCTTCACCGCCAATGCAAGCTTTTCTTTGAGTATCTCTTCCGAGCCAACATCTTCGATCTCGTCCGACTGAGAATCGGAATCGCACTTCACGTCGGCGTCCACGGAAGTCTCGTGCTGCTCCACGGGGCGTGGCGACTGAGGTTCCTTAGTCACGGTGTCGTGTGCATCCGGCGACTCGGGTTCTTCTTCGCCATACGAAACCTGACACAAAAGCCTGCATCGGTATTACTGAAGAACATGAAGACCATCTTTTCGGTGCTTACGTTGTCGTTAAGAACCTTCTCGCCTGCCTTGTAACTTTGATGAGCCTGAGAGTGTATCTGGCGCAGCGGAACAAGACCAGGAACAGCTTCCGGGGAGGGAGAGTCTAGAAGCCGAGAGAGGACGGTCGGGCGCTGATTCGTGGGGCTCACAGCATTGTGAGCTGCAGAAGGTACAAGCGGATCTCTCGGTGACGTACGTCCGTTGCTGCCATGAAAAATGTCATTGTCTTCCCTTTGCTCCCCTGATGCAATGTACAACACTTGCACCTACGATTTCTAATGTCACGAGAGGACGGAAGGTGATTATAATAAGCACGAACCTCGTTGCTCCTAGATTTCGCACCGCTTCCGCCAAAGGTAACAAGAAAAGTCCTGTCTTTTTTTTGAACTACAACAAGGCTCAGTCCCTGTGCATGCAGGAAAACAAAAAGAACTTTACTACAGAGACAAATACAAAACCCTGTACCTGATTACTGGCAACAGAATCCAGCGAACTCCTCATAGCGTTCATCCATGACATTTTGGGAATATCAAGTGCTATAGTTTCAGCAACTCCTGAGACATAATATTAGACCGGATGAAAAGCCACAAAAAAACCGTACTGGTTCCACGCTGAGCTCCGCCCGTAATGTACCATTTGTTATTCACAAGGACGCCAGAGCTGCCCGTCCTAGGAGATGGACTACATCCTCCTGGCTTTAGGCGAGACCACACCATCTGCAAAACGGATATCAGAGGATGGGAATGCCGTATGACATACGTACAGTTTCAAAGTCAAGTGCATAGAGATCATTTGAGACTTTTGTCTTCGTCGAACCGCCAAACACAAGAAGGTAACGATCATCATACATGCCAGCAACATGTCGGGCCCGTGGTGATGGTCCTTTGCCACTGAGAGAAACAGCAAAAAAGTGGTAGCAGCATATGCGTAAAACATGTAGCCTACCTTGTAAGCAAGGGAAGCCATATGAGTGACTTGAGATCCAAAACGTGAAGATCATTTAGCATGCGGCCTCTTGCATCTTGGCCTCCAAACATGACCAAAATAGAGCCGGCACGACTTACAGTTTGACCACTCCGTGCTGCCTGCACAGTTTCGTCAGTGCTGTGTGAGACAGCTCACTTAACTTACGGGAACGTCGCCTTTCGCATGGACTTTAGTCCAGTGTTCTGTCTCGAGGTCAAACGACCAAACTGTAACAAGGGAAAGGTCATAGAATTCTTCGAGAACGTAGCTATCGAACCTGTGACTTTGTCAGTGTCAAGGTCCATATCTCCTCCAACCAAGAGAACAGTTTTCCCCCACGCAATCTGTAAATAAATGATAGATCAAGGAAGAATATCTCAAGTGTTTGTACCAGGCTGTGGCCGCTACACGGTGGAAGCTGTTGCGAAGGTTTTGTTATTACAGATGATCCAAGCTCGGACCATGTCAATTTTCCCAGGTGAAGCATCTAAAACACAGCCAGCAAGGAAATATTTATCATCATCCGAAAGTGTGTTTCCAACTTACGTGTACATCGTTGAGCTTTCTATTATCCGTTTCACCACCAACAACGATCATCTTCCTTCCTATCACTGTCGTTGCGTGCTAAAGAAGAAGAACCAAGAAACCACCGTGAGTGATTCCTCTCGCCAAAATGTAGCTCAAACTTACGTTACGGCGAGCTTGAGGCCGGAATCCAGACGGCTGGATCGCCGTCCAATTCCTATTCTCCACGATGTCTTCGAGCTTCTCGTCTCCGCCACGATTTCCAAGGCATTGTAGGCCTCCGTCAGGGGAAGGAGTGCTGGAGAGGCTGAGAGAGTCCTCATGATGCTACAGCGAAAATAAAGAAGAATAGTCTCGCATTGCAATGCAAGGCTAGCAGCAAGATTTACCTTGGAGACGTGCCGGAAGCTCGAGAACAATCCAAACCAGTCCCGCTTCCCTTCATGCCGATTGCTGTGATGAGCTGAAGGATGCGGCGCCTCCATCGCTCGCGAGCTAGGCTACAAATCCGAGCAATCCGGAGCCAAATCTCCGAAATTTCGCTCGTGGGAACCACCGCATGCACAGAACACAAACCCTACCAAAATCGCGACCGCGAATCCCCGAATCCCCTGTTCCCGTCGCACGACCGCGCCAGAGAGCCTGTTCTTCGCGGCGCCGCCGGTCAGAGGAGCGAGCATCGATCACTGGAGGAAGAAATCGCGCATTGAAATCGCTGCGCGCACAAATCTTTGGCGCAGTCCCCTGGCAGGCAGCAAAGCCACCATCGCCAGACTGGATAAAAACACTAAAATTCCAAAGCCAAAGTGATTGGCTTTCGCGACCGTACGCCCACGGCTCAGCCATTCTGGGCCAGGCGGCCAATCAGTCAGAGCGTACGGCTGCCCACTGCCCACTGGTTTGTTCTTTCTCCTTTGTATGTATCTTCTAATCAAAGGCAAACAAACGAACAATACAAACCAAACCATGTCTTGCAAGCTAAGCAAATACCATGGCCTGCAATCGATCAAACAATAACTTTGAAGTTCCCATGATTTCTAAGTCGAGAACCAAAAAATTGACGATACACAAAGTCACCTAAATCTATTTCTTTTTAAGTTTTTTTTCTACCTTTTCTTCATTTTTTTCAACTTTTCTCTTTAAGCTTTGTTTTTACAGAAATTAAGTTGGGAGTTAGAAAAAGTATATACGTAGTATAAAGTTTAGAGGTTCAAGCTTCGATAGATCCCACCGAGGTTTCTTTCTTGAGGGCGGAATTTTCTTCCTGAGCGGACGCGCAGTCCTGATTCTTCACGGAAAACTCGCTGCTGGTTTTGTCATCCTTGACGGACTCCATAGACTGCTGGAGAACTCTGCAAAGAATTTCTCCCTTCACGCATAAGCAAATGCTCGCAAAAAGCAAATCACTGCTCTACGTTTTTACCTCTCTTTACGCCTCTGGAGGAACCGAGTTAGAGAAGCCTTCCTCGCTTGTGGAAGCACTGCGACAAAGTAAAAGATAGAAACAAATTAGAACATGAACAAGGAAAAAGAAAAGCTGTGTGTACCTTGAGCTGGAACTGGAGGACACGAGATCTTGGGAATGCCGGGGTTAAAGTTTCCTCCACTTGCGCGGCCGCCAAAGTTGAGGCTTAGAAGCAAACCGGCCTGCGATGGAGCTGCCAATCCCTGCTGTAACTTACGAACTTTGTGAGCCGGCTCGGGAAAGCCGGCATGGTTTGCAGACGGGGCTTGCAAGGATGCCAAGGATCCCAGAATCTGACTCGCGTTTCCAGTGGCTGAATTCCCAGCCAGGAGCATGATCGCATGAGCCTGAAGAAAAACTCGTGTAAGACACGAGAGAAGTTTCACAAGTGGAACACACCTTATCTTCAGGGATATCGTCATAAACGTTGACACAACCCGCGTAGAAGATCGTAAGCTGGTGCTTCGGCCTACAAAGTCAAACAAATATGAGCTCCAATCCATCATCCATGAAAGGAAAAGAAACAAAGAAAGAAAAAAAAAACGTTCTCTACCTTGCGCCATTTACAAGTGGAGCAGCATGAGTCAAAGGTCTCTCCAGAGGAACTTCCAGCTGAGGAGAACTCACTTGGCTGGGCGGAAGAAGCGAGAGTGTGGCCGAATCGTTGAAACCAGCATCCCCCGTTAGCAATTTCCTGAATTGCAACTCCCTTGCCTCGAGGACCATCTTCGCATTTCCCTAGAGGAGCCAGTAGCAAGCAGCATTAAGCAAAAGTTCCAAAAGCCAAAGCCCCGAGAGAGAACGACAGAGAAAGAGAGAGAGAGAGAACAAGAAAAAGATCTTACCTCAGAGAAAGCCCCAAAAGTAAAATTCCAGGCGCCGGTCGATCGATCCGGTTGTGAGAGCGGCCGCCTTCCAATAGATCGACCCAAGAAAGCGATGGAAGAAAGGTAGCGCTAGACCTAAATGGGGTGGGGATGGATGGATGGATGCGATGAAATGGTGGACACGAAAGAATATAAACGCACTCGCACGCACTCGCTCGCCTCGCCTTGAAATCCACGAGGCCAAATGACATGTGCTCCGTTTGAGGGACGGACGTGGCAGTGTCGCGACGGAGAATCTCGTGGGAGCATATGCCCTTCTCAGTGGGAAACATGAAACACGTTTGATAATTCATAATAAGAAAATATCCCACAAAATCTTCACCTTTTACCTCTACCCTAACCCTAACCCAAACTAACTTTCCTTTTGTTAAAAAATCTTTTACTTCCTACCGCCCTAACCCTAATTTTTCGATAGCTTAACCCTAATTTCATGACGAAGCGAGCTTGTGACACGGATCTGGAGCGGGCGAGCAAGATCATCGATCACTGGCCCCGAAATTCGCAGCTAGACGACGAGCTCTGGCACAAATACCCGCGCCTGGTCGAAAGATACACCCTCCAGTTGCGCATCGGTGATGGATCCCAGGGCGTCTTCCAAGCCCTGCGAAGATCCGATGGAGCGGCCTTCGCGGTCAAGACCATCGCCCATGGCCGCGGGAGGGAAGAAGCGCGGGCCTTAACCATGGCGAGCGCCATCGCCGGCGTGATCAAGCTCGAGGAGGAGATTTTCGAGATGGTAGTGGGCGAGATGGACGACGAGGTCTGCCACTTGGTCCTGGAGCTGTGCTCTTGCAGCCTCACCGACATGATCAAGCTCAAGACGCGGCTGGGCGAGAAGGAGGCCGCCACCGTCGTCTACAACGTCGCCGTCGCGCTGGATCAAGTCCACGACCGCGGGATGATCCACTGCGATATCAAACCGGGAAACGTTCTCGTCAAGCCCGCGAGCGCTGGATCATCAACTCCGGGCGCGGCCGTCGCCGCCGCCACCAACAAGTACGAGATCAAACTTGGCGACTTTGGATCGTGCTGGCCGTGGAGCAGCGATGGAATCGGGACCCCCGGATTCATGGCTCCCGAGTCTGTCATCGCTGGATCATACTCCACCGCCAGTGATGTCTTCGGGCTCGGGATGGTTCTCTACACTTGCCTCTCCGGGATGACTCCGTTCTACAACTTGAGCTACCGGCGGATGATGGAGGTGTTTGCGAGGAGCGACGATAAGATCCAGAGGGAGCTCAAGTGGGACTGCATACCACCCCTGGCGGCGGACTTGATCCGGTGCATGATCGCAAGGTCGCCCGAGGAGCGCTTCACGCTGGAGCAGTTTTTCGATCACGAGTGGATACTGGGCTTCTTCCCGGACCAGTGAGATCCATCAAACAATGTAAGTGTAAATCTCGCAAAACGAGATCGCTATAACTATTGTGCATTGCGAAGAACTTAACTCAATGCCGATCCTTGAGCTTGACAAAGCTCTCCACTAAGCTCGGGCTGACCACATCCGCGATGGCTCCTTTCTCAGACAAAAGAAACGTCTTCTCCTTGACAGTGCTCTGCAATCGATTCACGTCTGTCTCGAGCTCCACTTGCGCTGGAAACACTAAAAAAATGAGAAAACAATCAAGGATACCAAAAAGTAGTGTCCCACCTCTTTCCAGATTGCAATGCACTTGATGAAAGGGCAGGCGTACGAAGACGTCGGCCCCCGGGCACAAGCTCCAGACGGGGCGCGATCCATCGGAATCACCACAGGTCCGGCAGATCTTCTCGTCGCTCTCACTGCTCAGGACGCTGCTCTTGGACGTCCGCGCCTGCCTGCGCAGCGCCGTGAGCGCCTCCCGCGTCCCATTCCGCGATTTGTCGCTCTCCACAAGCTGCGATCGAGGTATCAACTTCTCCGCGGCCGCATTCTCGGAGATTTACCTGGCGCCTGGCGATCAGGAGCTCCTCGGCGGCGAATTCGACTGCCTCGACCTTGCGCTGGAGCTGCTCGGACGAGAGCTCCATGCATAAAACCCTAAAACTTCACCCAAGAGCCCTAAACTTTGCCCAAGAACCCTAAAAGAGCGATTTGATAAATTTCCAAATAAATTACACACGGATAGATGGATGGATCACATCTCGCGTTATTTCATCTTCGACTTCTTCTCAGTCGATGATCAAGAGAGTGGGGTCGCAACAGCAGTCATCCAAGAGGCAGCAGCAGCACATCGCGGCCAAGCTACAGGGAAGAAATTAAAAATCGATGGTGTCAGGCTCCATCCAATCCAGATGAGAAAATGGAAAAGCTCGAGCGATCGACCGAAAGCTTACCATCCAGTCAAGAAATTGCTGTTGTTCTTGCGCGGAGGAGCTTGCTGTTGATACTGCGGCGGTGGAACTACTGGCGGTGGCTGCTGGTAGTATCCTCCCTGCGCTTGATTCGGGTAGCCTTGCGGGGGATAGCCCTGTGGCGGATACCCTGGAGACAAATCCGCAAGAGAGTAAATTTCAAGATCGTAGGAATCGAAAGCCACAAACTCCAAGAAAAAGATTTCTAGCGGCGAATGGAAATGCTGGAAGAACAAGAGAGACAAGAGGGAAGATTACGCATACCTTGTTGGGGGGGATAGCCATACGCCGGCTGCGCGGGATAGGCATATTTGGGATCCTCCGCCATTCCCCCGAGCAAGAAAGAATCGAAAAGATCGCGCAAGAACGCTCGAATCAAGCAACCAGCCAATCAGCTCTGGCGAAGATTAGAATTTCTAGTGCGCCGTGGATCGCAGATTTCTACAGTGCCGCGGCGAGGGATTGACAATCCAGATCTAACCCTCCCTGGCAAATAGCCGACACACAAAGGAAGGCGCAGCGAAGACCGGGGAGCGAAGAAATAAGAAAACGATCGGACACGCAACACGGAGAGAGCGACGAGAGCTAGGGCATATGCGGGGTATATACGGCGCGAAAAACCCGCGCAGAATATACCGCCAGCGTTGACGCATATTCCGTCAAGCAACATTCTAAGGAATATCCTCTATATACAAAAAATCGGGCTAGTACGGGAGATCACACTCTCTTGGGAAGGCCGTACGCCTTCTTGAGGAACTTGGAGGCCGTCTCGTCCGCGCGGTGGCAGAGAACTCGCAGCACCGTGTTTGGATCCGATGGGCTCCAGCTCTTGGGATTGGGGGGCACGGGCGCGGAGGAGGAGCCCCTCGATCTGCCGCCGCCGTCGAGCGACTTGAGCCTGTCGATGAGCTCGCCAGTCTCCATGGCGAAGAGCGGGAGGACTTGCGCTGCGCACGACGAGTACCTGTCCACCACCTCCGCCGGGAGCCCGTCGCCATCGGCCTTGAACAGCTCCCGTAGCGCCGCCAGGTCCTCCTCCAGCATCGCCGCGTCCGCGGCTTGGAACGCTCTTGACGGCCCGCCGCCAAGGATCACCAGCGAGAATGCGTCGAAGCAGCACCTCATGAGCGCCGTCACGAGCTTGTTCCGGAGCCGCCCCGAAACGGTCGACGCGATGACTTCCAGCTGCGCGTCCAGCTGATGGATCACCTGGTCCACCCGGGCGTTTGCCACGCCCCCGGCGTACAGTCCGTCCCACAGCACCGCCCTCATGTCTTGGAAAACGGCGCGGTGGACGCCGGCCTCGGTCAGCTTCTGGATGCCTTCTTTACAGCTCGACCGTGCTCTTTCAAACTTTGCCTGATCGCCGCTGGCGTCTGGAGATTTGCCCGGCTGCTTTTTGGATTGTGGCTCCGAGTCTCGCTTCACGCTGTTGTCCTGCCACCCGGCTCGTATGCGCTTGTCCATAAACTCGAGCTCAGACTCCAGATGATACAGCGTATTTATGCGGACGCAGAGGTGCTGCAGCTCGGTCGTGTCGACGTGCTGGACGCCATTCCTGGGCTCTACCTGTCCCTTCCTTTTGTCCTTTTTGAACCAGGATAAGCTGCTCTTTGCATGGAGATCTTTGTTCCATCGCGTTAAAGGCGGCAAACGGGGATTTGTCTTGGATTCTACGAAAACCACAAAGAAACATAAGATATCAGTCCGAAAGTTTCCTTGGTTGGCCCGCAAAATAATAGCTTACCGCAGTTGGAGACGGCGTGAGCAACATATCGATACAAAACTCGGTCCACCCCGGAAGCAAGGTCCTGGACTACGTCCTTTGGAGGCGAGATGGGGAGCACGTAGAAAGCGTCCAAGGTCTCTTCGATCAGCCGCAACAGCTCCACCACTGATGGCGCATAATGCTCACGCATTGCATTTGGATTCCAGTCCTACAGACAGGCCACAAAACGTCAGCCAAAGTGGAGACACGCTTCAGAAACAAAACCTCTTTTGCCATGTTTCTTTCCGCCCACTCCCCGAGGCGTTCGATGCTCGATTGCACCCACTGTTTTGTCAAGGCCGCTACAGTGGAATCACCTTCAAAAGGAGGCATTTCTCGAATGAGGCCCTTTCCTCCGTCGTCACAGTCAACCGCGTCCTCGACGACGGCCTGAACGAGCTCTTTCTCCAGCTGGTCTGCCGACTTCAGAACCTCTACGGATTCGGGAGTGAGAATTTTGAGTCCAGTCAAGTACTGTTTAAGTTCCCTGTGGTAGCACGCGTGGAGAGTCGCAGCTGCCACACCCCCAGGATTGGGATGCCACTGACTGAAGATTGGACTGTACTTTGCCTTCTCATTTCGGAGAAGATCCATAGTATCTTTTGCAAGGACAGCAAGCGCCGGAGTCTGAGTTTTGGCCAACTTTCTCTTGGAATCAACTGGCTCCATCATCTGCGTCCAATTAACAGTAGTTAGCTAAACAAACAGTACCGCAGAACTGACAGAACTTACCATTGCGAAAGCACTCCTAACCGAGGAACGTATGTAGGCATCAATCCTGGTGGCCGCCACGTTCACTTGCTCCGTCCGTCTTCGGCGATACTCTTGAGAGATGTCCTCGTGCAAGATCTGAGCAGCAGCGAGGGCGTACGGGATCAGCTTGTCCATGAGTCCGGCACCTCCAACTGGAAACGCGTCGTGGTACGAAAAGAGCCTCTTCTCAACTGACTGTTGCATCCCCGACAAAGCCGAGCTCAGAAGCTGGATATAAATGGGATCCCGTTCGTTCTTGGCATCCTTAGAAACTTCATTCAACTGAGTCTGAGCAGCACCTAGAAGTTCCAGCTCAGTCTCGCCCGTGACGAAGAACTGTCGGAACAAAACCCACAGGAAGCAGATGTTGTGAACTTTCTGATCGATGCCAAGTATACTCCAGCCATTTTTGAGCAAGTCCACCAACTCATCCATCTCGTCGATGACAGCACTCGGATCCTGTGTGTCGAAGCAGCACTGCAGTAACACCTGGTAAAGGTGGACGTTGAAAGGATAGCCATCTGCCCAATGGATACCATCGTCTCCCCTGCTTGCTAAGGCCATAGCTGCGCTTCTCAACGCTTGCATGCGTTCGCTATTCCGACCGGTCTCAAACGGAGTTTGCCTGGCTTCAAACAGCACCTGCTTCAAGCGCTGCGCTCCAATCTCACGTTTGTCCAAATCGATCTTAGGATGGCAAAGCAAACCGGCCTCCAGAACGTCTAGCTGAGAACTTCGCCACTGGTTGTATTCCTCGCTCTCAAAAAAATCGGTGGAGCCAATGTTCTGGAGAAGCTCCACGGGAACAACGAGAGACTTTCCAGTCTGCATCAACAAAAAGAGGAAAGGTGGGCTTAAACAGCTTAAGCAAAGGAGTAAAAGCTTGGAACGGGATTTCCATACCTGTCCTGCTGTAGCTCTCGTCAGTGCTCGTCTCACTCTGGCATCCACTTTCTCCGATACACCTAATTGAATTCTCAGACGCTCTATCGGCTGCTTGGCTTTTCCTTGACTGTCACTGTCGCGTTTAGATCTAAGCCCCAGAGCTTTCTTCATTCGACTGGCAGCCATAGCCGTGGCTGATTTCTCGGCAGGCTTGTTCAAACTCGTGCTCTTCTTGATCCCTGTGTAAACCAGCGCCCTGGCGGCGATGGAACCCGATGCTACCAGGATAATTTCATACGCGGCTTCCTTGAGAGCGCTCTCGGACAAGTTCACATCCAGCGGTGGCAACCCGGGCCCAATTTCCGTCGATCTCCTGCTACCAGTCTCCATACTCTTGGATTTGGAGAGAAATCGATTCATTCTCACCAAGATCTACCCGAAATCACAGCCTCTCGCGACAGCGATCGCAATGTAGCTCAGATAATCCGTGGATTCCGAGCTGAGGGACTGATCATACCGATTGGAGGCGTTGCTTGACCTCGTCGCTACTCCACGACGCGCTTGGCCCCCCTCGAGCCCCAAACCCTAGAACAAAGGATTTAAGCACTCCTTTTACCAGCAAAGAAGAAAGAGCTGTGCGTGTGGAACATTTGACAGCCCAGCACGAGACGCGTGTCAGCCTCTGATAAGACAGAATGTTTTCCCCTCACAGGACGATTCGAGCCGTGCCAATCCGGTAGCATATTCGCCACAGATGCGATCGATCTGGACCGTTGGTTGCAAACTCTGCAGTCGGATCGTCCATGGCGTATGGCCTGTACAGAACCCTAAACCCTAAGCCATTTCATCCCCAGTCTATCTCCAGGTTTCCCTCCAGGTATATAATGCGCTTTGCCGCAGCTAGGGTTTGTGATTCCATTCCGAAATTTCTTCTTCCAGCGGTAGGGTTCTAGCTCGGCGCGTCGCGGCCCTAGATTGTGGATGTCGCATGGTGTGCCGGCTGGGAATTCGCTGCAGCGCCTGAGAAAAGCTTCAAATGCCATCGCGGTTTGCGCCGAGGAATCGACTGGGCGTCCGTAAGGTCTGTAAATCCGGGAGAATGTGAGGTTTTGTGGCCTTCTTGCGCGGCTTTTCTACAGTAGATAGGGATCTAGACGACCATAGGGCTTGGTTTCTGTGTGGTGTGATGATCTAGAGGTGCATTTGGCGCTCTGTTGACTCTCTTTTTTCTTTGTCTTCCTTGCAGAAGAACCAGGGGAAGTCCGAAATGACTGTGAGCCCTTCCAGTAGCAATGGAGATTTCCTTAAGGCAGATCTTGACGAGGAGGGCTGGAAACAAAGTCGCGTGCTGCGCTGTTCTTACCGCGTGCTTCAACTTATTGGAAATGCGACCCTTACCGAGAAGGTGATCCGTGAGGCACTGGGAAACAATCCAGACACGAGCAAAGCTCTCAGACTGTAAGGACTAGAAAATGTGCGTTCTTTGCAGTCTGGTGTATTAACATTGTTTTTCTTGCCTGAGAACTCGCAGACTGCTCAAGAGGAAAATGATAAAGCGTGTTGGATATGGAGGTAGAAGCTGTCCGTTCCACTACCAGTTAAGATTTTTCTTTCTTCTTTCTTTTTCACTAACTCGGGGGAGTTTAATAGGTCTCTCTCGAGGTCTCCCTCCAAAGAGACCGACGAAAAAGCAGAGCTTACTAGCTCTAGTTCCGCCGAGAACACAGACATGCCAGACGAGGAGAGGCACGACAACAAAACGAACACGATGAGCAACGCGCTGGTAACGACGAGCACTGCGGTGGTAGCGGACGCGGTGGTAGCGATCAAGAGGGACCCGAGCGAGACCACCACCAATGGCACGGAGGAGCCCGCCGACGAGGTACTTGTCGCCACCACAAAGCTCAAAGTTTCAAAGGCTTCGAAGGAGCCTAAGAAGGCACAGGTAAAAGCCACCGCCGCGGTTGCCAAGGCCGTGGCAAAGGCCGGCCCTGGCGGATTGACGGAGCAACAGTTGCTAGAGATCCCAGTGCCGGGGTGGAGACTTGTAGACGATTGAGCTTCCCGGGGTGGAGGAGGAGGAGGAGGAAGAATGGATGCTGCTCCGTGTAGATATCTCTGGACTGAGCTTTTCATCAAGGGGGCGACAGAGAGAGCTTCATCGTTGGTTGGATTGGATCCTTTGTTCGTTCTTTGGAGAGATTTCTCGTTTTTAGTGCTGCTTGGTCCTGACAACAGGAGGAAGAAGGAAAAAAAAAGTTTCTAGGGGCAGGGATGGACTTTAATGGCGGAAGAACAACAAAAAAAAATTCTCTCTTGCGACGAGTTTTGGTGTACAATTTGGAACCTCTCCTCCCGCTGCCCCGGTTGTAACGTTCCCAGGCGACGAAGCACAGCCCAGTGAGAAGAATAAGTTATTTGTTAATTTCAGTTTAACCAGTTTGTTTAACTTTGTACTAACTTAATACTTCTAAATCATAGGGCTGACGTGTCGTCGCGCTTTTGCCCTTTTAGCCGCCAAAAGAGAGGAATTAGGGTTCTAGAGGTTTGTTCTAGGTCTTTGGCATCGCTGCTACGATGCCGGGAGTGGAGGTTGAGCCAGAGATCGTGAAGCAGAAGCCGAAGAAGCTCAAGGCAGCTGCGGCGGAGGATTTGGCGGATAAGAAGAAGGAGATGGATTCGTCCGAGAAGAAGGAGAAGAAGAGGAAGAAGAAAGAGGGCGAGAGTGGCAATGCGGAGGAGCCAGAGAAGAAGCGCAAGAAATCCGAGGTGCCGTCGAGCCCGGAGAAGAGCGACATTGATGTCGAGAATCCCTACGCGCTGGAGAATTTCCGGATCTCGGACGCTGTCAAGGGGATGCTCAGGGAGAAAGGGATCAAGGCCTTGTTCCAAATTCAAGCTCAGAGCTTTGACATCGTCCTAGATGGCGATGATCTGGTTGGAAGAGCGCGCACTGGCCAAGTAAGTCCTTCGTTGTAGCTTTAGAGCGCCTAAAGTTCTTGTTTTTCCAGGGAAAAACGCTAGCTTTTGTGTTGCCTATCATTGAATCGCTGCGAAAGTCTTCTTCGGGGAAAAAAGGTTATGGACGTGCTCCCACGGTTCTAGTTCTTGCTCCAACGCGTGAATTGGCGAAACAAGTAAGTGGAAACTTCATGACTCGCGAGTAAAGCTTTCTTCTCTATAGGTTCATGCAGACTTTGAGTGCTACGGAGGTGCTGCTGGCTTGAGCACTATTTGTGTTTATGGTGGAAGTCAGTATGGTCCCCAGCAGAATGCTATGCGTCGTGGTGTGGACATTGTTGTTGGGACTCCTGGACGTATTAAGGTAATGGATTTTGTTGTTCTGGACATCCTTACCAGGCTTCGGTTTTGCAGGATTTCCTGGACCGCGGTGACTTGAACTTGAAAACTTTGAAGTTCCGAGTCCTTGATGAGGCCGATGAGATGCTTAACATGGGATTTGTGGAGGCTGTTGAAGCTATTTTAGGCGCTGTCGAAGATACCTCCTCCGTGCAGACACTTTTGTTCAGTGCTACTATGCCCAGCTGGGTGAAAGAGGTGCGTGACGGAATAAAAATGAATCTTTCTGTTCATATGAACTTTTTTTTATCTTCAGATAGCAACGAGGTTTCTTAAACCAAATAAGAAAACCGTGGACCTTGTTGGAGATGAGAAAATGAAGGCCAGTAACAATGTCAAGCACTTGCTGCTTCAATGCGCTTATTCTGCGAGGTCTCAGATGATAGCAGATGTGATTAAGGTTTATGGCAGGTAAAGCATTTCATTTCCTAGGGGAGGTTGCTCTCATCTGTTCTTTTCTTTTCTTTCTTTCCAGTGGTGGAAGAGTTATAGTTTTCACGGAGACGAAAAATGATGCTTCCGAGCTTGCTGGTTCGTTAGGGACAAACGTCGCCAGGCCATTACACGGAGACATTCCACAAGCACAGCGAGAGGTAACGAATGGATTACATAGTCAGCAGTGCGTTACATCGTTTCTTTTACAGCACACTCTAGCTGGATTTCGGTCTGCAAAGTTCCTTGTCTTAGTTGCCACCGATGTTGCTGCTCGAGGTTTGGATATCAATGACGTCCAACTCATTATCCAGGTTTGCTTCCTCTATTGCATCATAACGGGTTGTAAAGTTTCGATGAGCAGTGTGAGCCACCAAAGGATGTAGAGACTTACATTCACCGATCAGGTCGGACGGGGCGAGCGGGTATGTTGTTCAGTATCCTTTTATAGTATAACTTGCTGATGATCCACTTCGATTTTCAGGAAATACGGGAATTGCCGTGATGATGTTCGATCGGAAGAAGGAATATATGATACCTATGATTGAAGCGAAGGCAGGATTTAAGTTCGAAAAGATCACACCTCCTCAGCCCTCTACAATCGCTAAGGAATCATCATTCACCGCTATTAAGGCCGTTTCAGCAGTTTCAGACAGGTACATCTCAACCTTCTCTTGATTTATTTCTAAAATGTATCGTACTCTTTCAGCGTAGTACCCTTCTTCAAAGAAGCAGCAGAGCAACTTGTCAGCGATTGCAAGCGTCCGGCCGTGGAACTTCTGGCTAAGGCTCTAGCGAAGATTGCCGTAAGCGTTTATATTCTTAAGCCACGAATGTTATATCTGATGCTTTGAAATTCTGACAGGGGTGCACTGAAGTGAAGAGGAGATCATTGCAGACATCGCATGACGACGCTACAACTTTACTTTTCGAAGTGTCCAAGCCGATACATTCCGTGGGGTACGTTTGCAATTTCCAAAGTCGATTCTTTTCTCTAATACGCTGCAACACAGATATATCTTCAATGCGTTGCGAGGTTTTTTAAGCGAGGAATGTAGTTCCTCGATTCGGCGCATGAACCTTACTGCGGACGGTAAAGCAGCGGTCTTTGACGTTCCCAGCGCAATGGTGGACGAGTTTTTGATCGGTAAAACAAATTCACCTCATTGCCGTATGTTCCTAAGTCTGCTGCGTGATCAGGAAACGACGGCGCGGATAACTTCACCATCTCGATTCCTGAGTCTCTTCCAGAGCTGACGGCCAAGCCCGAGAGAACGTACTGCATTTTACATTCCTTCATGCGCTGGTTTTCGCTGACGTGTTCGTGTTTCGTTTCCACAGGGGTGGATATGGCGGTGGTGGCTATGGAGGTGGTGGAAGCAGCAGAGGTGGATACAGCGGTGGAAGAGGTAACAGAGGAGGATTTAGCAGTGGAAGAGGTCGTGGAGGCTACAGTGGCGGTGGAAGAGGGGGCCGCAAGTACTAGCTCCACGAAAACTCCAGTTTTGATTGTGAGGACGACGACGAAACTTTTGGCAAGGCGGAGATAAAGATATTCTTCGGGTGACTCTAGAATGCGATCATCCCAGCTAGTAGGATTGGAGCAACAGCAACAATTTTGGATCCAGCAGCAGCAGCAGGATCTTTCGAGTTTTGACTCTGCCGCGGCTGTTCGTCTCGTCCGGGAATGTAACTCGATTGCTAGAGGCAAACTTCTTCACTCCAAAATCTCGAGTAGCCCGAGCTTGTCTCGCGATGGGTATTTGGCCTCGAGCCTCGTTTACATGTATCTCAGGTGTGGCAGCCTCGAGAGCGCGATAGACGTCTTCCACAAGATCGCCCACAAGAGCATCGTGCTTTGGACGGTCCTGATATCCGCTTACGTGTCGCGCGGCCATTCGGCGGCCGCCATAGCTTTGTTCCATCGAATCTTGCAAGAGGGCATCGCGCTAGATGCTATTGTGTTTGTGTCGGTGCTTAGTGCGTGCTCGAGCGAGGAATTCCTCGCGGCGGGACGATTGATCCATCGCTGCGCGGTCGAGGCTGGATTGGGGCTCCAGGAGATCGTTGCGAGCGCGCTGGTGAGCATGTATGGCCGGTGTGGGAGCCTGCGCGACGCAAATGCCCTGTTTGGGCATCTGGAGAGGCATCTGGATGTGGTGCTGTGGAACGCGATGATCACCGCGAATTCGCAGAATGGATCGCCGAGAGAGGCGTTGGAGATCTTCTATCGGATGCTCCAGCTCGGGATCCCGCCGGATCTCGTCACATTTGTCTCGGTCTTCAAGGCGTGTTCTTCGTCGCCATCACTTCGCGCTTCCCAGGTGAAGGGATTCCACGCCTGCCTCGATGAAACAGGGCTTGGATCTGACGTCGTCGTGGCTACTGCTCTGGTGAATGCGTACGCGCGCTGCGGAGAGATCGATTGTGCCAGGAAATTCTTTGCGGAGATGCCCGAGAGGAATGCCGTGTCGTGGACATCGATGATCGCAGCATTTACCCAGATCGGCCATCTGCTAGCCGTGGAGACGTTCCACGCGATGCTTCTCGAGGGCGTGGTTCCAACGCGATCCACTCTCTTTGCGGCGCTGGAAGGATGCGAGGATCTTCGCGTCGCGCGGCTCGTCGAGGCCATCGCCCAAGAGATCGGCGTCGTCACGGACGTAGCCATCGTCACGGATCTTGTGATGGCCTACGCGAGATGTGATGGCCAAGAGGATGCGATCAGGGTCTTCTCGGCGCGCGAGGAGGGCGAATGGGATGCCGCGCTCGTCACTGCGATGATCGCAGTATACGCGCAGTGCCGGGATCGCCGGTCGACGTTCAAGCTCTGGGGCGCAGCCATCGAGCGCGGGATCTCGCCCGACAGGATCCTCTACATCACCGCGCTGGATGCGTGCGCGAGCCTGGCGGCGCTGAGCGAGGGTAGGCAAATCCACGCCTGCGTCGCCGCGGATCGGCGCCTCGATCGCGATGTCACGCTCGGGAACGCGATCGTGAGCATGTATGGGCAATGCGGCAGCCTGCGCGACGCCAGGGACGCTTTCGATGGAATGCCCGCCAGGGACGAGATCTCCTGGAATGCGATGCTCTCCGCGAGCGCGCAGCACGGCCGCGTCGAGGATTGCTGCGATCTCTTCCGGGCGATGCTCCAGGAGGGATTTGATGCCGAGAGGATCGCCTTCTTGAATCTCCTCTCGGCGTGCGCGCACGCCGGGCTCGTGAAAGCCGGATGCGAGCACTTCTCGGCGATGACCGGGGATCACGGCGTGGTTCCCGCGACCGAGCACTACGGATGCATGGTGGATCTTCTGGGGCGGAAGGGCCGGCTCGCGGATGCGCACGGAATCGTCCAGGCGATGCCTGTGCCGCCCGATGCCGCCACGTGGATGGCCCTGATGGGCGCGTGCCGGATCTACGGCGATACCGAGCGCGGGAGATTTGCCGCCGAGAGGGTCTTGGAGCTCAGGGCGGATCACACCGCGGCCTATGTCGCGCTTTGCAACATCTACTCGGCGGCCGGGCGGTGGGACGATGCTGCGGCGGTGAGGAAGATCATGGCCGATCTGGGGCTCCGGAAGATCCCGGGCGTGAGCTCGATCGAGATCCGGAGCAAGGTGCACGAGTTTGTGGTGCGCGATCGATCGCACCCACAGTCGGAGGCGATCTACGCGGAGCTGGAGCGCGTGATGGGCGCGATCGAGCGCGCGGGGTACCGGGCGGTCACGGGCGAGGTGCTCCACGACGTGGAGGAGGAGCAGAAGGAGCAGCTGCTGCGATTCCACAGCGAGAAGCTCGCCATCGCGTTTGGGATGATGAGCACGCCGCAGGGATCCACGCTACGCGTGATCAAGAACTTGCGGGTGTGCGTGGATTGCCACAACGCCTCGAAATTCATCTCCAAGGTGTTTGGCAGGGAGATCGTGGTGAGGGACGTGAGGAGGTTCCACCATTTCAAGGATGGGGCGTGCTCTTGCGGGGATTACTGGTGAGGACGATGGCCCCGGACCGTCCGATGCGGCTATTTGAATATCGGCCGTCCGATTAGATATTTGAACTGGACCGTCTGATGTGGCGCGTCGAAACTAGGCCGTGCGATAAGATGTACTGTTTTATTTTTAAAAAAGAAAAAGAGAGCCACGTGGAAATTTAGGGCTGGGGTTTGAGAGGGAGCTAGGGTTTGAGGACGCGGAGGAGAGAAGGCAGGAATCGGAGCTATGCCGGGCTCGGATCGAGTGCACGATGAGAAGATGGATGCCTGCTACGACGTGATGCTGCGCAGGTTCGTGTATTCGTCGGCGGTGGGAGTGTTCGCGGGGCTGCTGTTCTTCCGCTCGCCATCGGCGCGATGGGCGACCATGGCATTTGGCGCGGGCGTGGGATTGGGCTCCGGCTACACAGATTGCTCCAGGATCCTCAAAGACTCCAATTCATCGCTGGGATTGTTGGGCCGAGCAGATTAGAGACAGAACGAACAGGGTTTTTTGGGGGTGGAAGTTTTCTCTCCGCATTTTGGATCGACAAGGAGGAGGAATTTGGTCCGAGAATAAGAAAGTAAGAACCAAGATCATCAATGATAAGCTCACTTTGTTTTTGTTTCTCTCGATCTTATTCTTGGTGTTCTCTTTCAATCCTATCTGTGGTGGCGACGCACAGTTTGGACTGTGGCGAGCTCGGATTTTGGAAGATCGCGCTAGCAGCGAGCTCTGCGATGATCAGATCAAACTCCAGGGCATTTAAAACGAATTTCTTTCCAGCTCGCGAGCGAAGTTTCCTTGTGTATGAATTAATGTGTGCCAGGGAAAATTTGGGAGGAGAGGTCGTGTCCATGCAGGCTACGCGCTGGGCCCAATTGGGCATTTATGGTCAACTTTGCCTTGTCAGGGAAGAGATCACTTCCCAACCATGGGAATGTATGGATTTTCTATTCTATCAAAGAAAGATTTGAAGACAATGTCAAGGTATGGAGTTTGGGAATCCACTTGCGCCTGCGCCTCATCGACATCTCTGTTTGCTCAAGGACAAGTTCTATAGCGATTCGAGATGGCCATTCATTCATCAGCGCCGGTTTGGATGCATGGTTTTTTGGACTTGGTGTCTTGTGTTTTCTTGTGTCATATAACAAGACAAACACAAAAGAAGTTTCATGCTGGGCATCATTTCTCTCTCTCTCTTTTTTTCGATTTTTATTTTTGTTTTGTTGGTGAAAATTTTCTTCCGGAGCTTTCAAGTCACGATCTTCCCAAAAACAACGAAGTTGCAACCACCAACTTTCCAAAGGCTGCGTTGTAGAAATGTGCGTTGCATGGCAAATCTTGGGGGAGGTACGTAGGCTGCATGTCCAGCCACACTAATGAAGCTGTGTTTGTTCGTTAAATGGATGATAAATCGCGAGCTTAGAACAAATACGTTATGCATTTACATTGGCTGCACGCAACGGGCTCTGTTCGTCCAGCAGACGAGACAGGCATATTCTTGCACCCGCGTGGCATATTCTCTTATGTCCCAGGCAGCGTTTTTTCCTCTCGCGAGCGCGTGTGAGCGTTTGTGTGGAGGGCGAGCGAAAGTAGTACTGTTTTCGTCTTGGTGGCTGTGGCGATTCTACTGGCTTTAGCTCTAGGATCGATAATGGTGTCGAGCAGCGACCAGAGTCGGGACTTTTCGGAGCTGTCTCCCTCGATCTCTGCGAAGACTTTGAGCTGCTGGGGTCGATTCTACCCTGGATTGACGCTGCGAGACCGGAGCACCGATCGAATTCTTAGTGGGTCTTGGGATCTTGCTCGATAAAGCAAAAAGGAGAGAACTTTCAAGGAGGCCCTCTTTCATTGTAAGTTTCTCTTTTTCTTGCTTGCGTTCCATAGAATTCCCCTTTCGAGGTCTCGTCAAGAGTTTTCTCTCTCGACTCTGTTCTGTTTGCTTTCCTGCTTGGAAAATGGTGGAGAAGAGATGGCATTGACAATCCATCAGCAAGTCAATGAAGATCGAGCATCTTTCCGAGCAATGAAGCCACCACTGTACAGGCCTCCGCTCCAGCGATCAATATCATCACAGGACAGTAATGCCTCGTCAAACAAGCCAGGTCTGGTAGACAACCATTCACTCATCCACAGATCGGCGTCGCTAGACACAGCCGGCATTTTGCACAGCCGGACGAGTTCGCAGGAGATTAGTCTTAACTCCACACCACAGGACAGTAGCAGTAGTAGCGGCTCCATCAATTCTTCTCCTTTCCACGACTCCTCCGAGCTCACGAGTTCTACGACAAGTTCTTCAGCACCGCCACCACCTCTGCTTCCATCGTGGAATGTTAGAAGGGCGAAGTTGTCGGCGAGTTCTTCCAGCAGCAGGGCGAGCACTGGGGGAGTTCTGGTGCCGAGAGAGATCGTCGACAATTGGGACAAGTTGTTTTGCGAGGGCCTCCATACGGACGTTTGCATCGTCACCGAGGATGGAGGGATGACTGCTGCTCACTCGTTCGTGCTGGTAAGCTTGAAAATCTAGTATACGCAAGCAAAGTTTTCTTTTTTCTCGAACAGGCCGCAAGCTCTCCGGTTTTCTTACGCTTGCTCCAAGAGCAGCAACCGTCCGGAAAGCACCACCGGCGATCCATCCACATTTTGGGAGTTCCATACGATGCTGCGAGAGTTTTCACTCGGTTTGTGTATTCGTCGCGGTAAGCCAAGGATGTTTTCTCTTTCCTTGATCGTCACCATTGCTCTAGATACGAGGAAAAAGAGATGGAGAAGTACGTGCTACATTTGCTCGCGCTCTCCCACTCGTACTCGATCCCGCTCCTCAAGAAGAAATGCACCGAGGCGCTGGAGCGGGGCCTGCTCACGACCGAAAACGTCGTGGACGTGCTCCAGCTCGCACGACTGTGCGATGCGAGCCGGCTAAACCTCTTGTGCCTGCGTCTCATCGTCGCCAGCTTCAAGACGGTGGTAAAGTCCGAAGGCTGGCGAGTGATGCGCGAGTCCGATCAAACGCTCGAGCAGGAGCTCGTTGGTCACGTCATCGAGGCCGACGCCGTAAGTTCTAGTTCTCCCAAGCATTCTTTCCATAGCTTCATTGAACTTACGTTCTTTGTTCGCAGAGAAAGCAAGAGAAGCTGAGAAAATCCGAGGAAGACAAGGTGTACAAGCAGCTCCACGACGCGATGGAGGCGCTGGTTCACATATGCCGCGACGGATGCCGCACCATCGGGCCGCACGAAAGGCCGCCCGACGGTATCAACAGGCAGAATTCTTTCTCTTCTTCTTCCTCGTCTTCTTCTTCGTGCGGCTTTCCAGCGTGCAAGGGACTCGAGTCTCTGGTCCGACACTTTGCCGGGTGCCGGACCAAGGTCTCGGGTGGCTGCCTTCATTGCAAGCGGATGTGGGAGCTCCTGGAGCTACACTCGAGAATGTGTGGCGATGCCGAGCGATGCAAAGTCCCACTTTGCAGGTAAGAGTTTGTAGTTTTTCGCTGCTAGTTTCTTCAGCTCTTTCTTCGACAGGCATTTCAAGGACCGGATCGGCCAGCAAACGAAGAAAGAGGAGTCACGGTGGAACCTCTTGGTTGCCAAAGTCAAGGCTGCCAAAGGGGCCTCCACTGCCTTCTCCTTGGCCGCTGTTTCAGCGACTTTGGAGAAGGAGGCTTACAGACAGTGAGAATGATATAGAGAATTCTTTCGCTTTGTATAGATGGAAGCTAATCGAGTCTTTCGCACAAATTGCTACTTTGAACTTGATAGCGTCCTACTTTAGATGTTCATGGATGCTTTCACGGTTTTACAATGTATCGTCATCTTACAGTCGCCATTACCTGCTCCATGGTGTCCGCGATTTCTTGATCTTTGGCATGGACAATCAAAAACAAGGACAGCACAAACGCGGAGTCTGTCCCTGCGTTGACATGTATGTCATGTCCTCCCAATAAGCAGCAGCCACAGCTTGGCTTGATCTAGGAAAAAAAACGTTAAAGTTACTCAAATGATCTCAATGAGAGCGTGCTACTTTGGCAATTATCTGATCGTTTCTGTTGTAAATCTTGATGCTGCTGCTGCTTGCCTTCCTCCTTACCTTGAAATCTGGATGCTCCTTCGGGGACTTATTTGGGCCGAGGAAAACATGCATGGAAAGATTGAATTCGAGCAGCGATGACTCCTTGACGAGGAAGAGCATCTCGCTGGATTTGTCTCCCGGAAAGACTTGCCAGGTCGCGTGGAGGTGCCATATCTTGAGAGGAAATTGGTAAGATGGCCTCGAGAGAAAGTTTTGTGAATCAAGCATCAGTTACCTTCTGGCAGAGGCGGAGAACCGTGGCGGAGTTTCGATCCTTGACAAGAATGTCCGCTTTGCCGAAAGTGGGGTGTTTCACCTTGAATACGAGATTGCCCGTGGAGACATCCTTCACATTGTGGCTGCTCAAACAATGCTCTGCGTACACCAGATGCTGATCTCGCTCCGCCCTGCAAAACTGGCCGCCTACAACCTCTTGCGCCATGCCTGCCTTCCTTGACTTTGAAACAAAAACGTATAGAAGATCACTTTACTGTCCAAGTTTATACAACGCAAGTAACAATGCTATACCAGAAAATTATGCAAATATTCAACAAGAATTTCACCACTTCAAAAAACATTTCACATCATAGAATGCTGGTTAACTTAACAGCCAGTTTAATAAATAATTATTTGAATAAAAATAAATAATAATAAGAAAAAATAAAAAGGTTTCTCGTTTATTATATTGTAACAAAAAAACATACACAAAATTCTGCAGAAATCGCCACTCTCAACAGTGCCATATTATGGCATGTTTTAAATCTTCTGGCGACCACCTGGAAGCATAGAATTGAACCCAAGATCTCAAGGAGAAGAGCTTTGTCTTTAATTAACAAGTTAGCAAGTCCAGACATTTCATACCAGATTTTCTTCTTAAATATTAATATAATTGTGTCATAGGAACTTCTTTCATCGTAGATTGGATGAAGGGGCTGTTTGTCTAGCTTCTTCTTTCTCTTTTACGATCAGAATCAGCGACAGCACAAACACATAATCAACTCCAGGAGCCACGCTGATCTGGTACCTTGTGTTGGAAAGGAGAGATATCGCCTCAGCCTGGTAAGAAATATATATGTATGCATATAATTTCTTATGATTAGTTGCTGATAGACTTACCCTGGCAACCACTGCTCCTCCTCGTCCACGAGAAACCTCAATGCTACTGCCAAGCACTTCCTTCTTTACCTGAAAATCAGGCTCACTCGAATCGGAATCTGGATTGTTGGAGGCCAGAAATACATCAAGAGAAAGGCTGAATTGAATCCGAGATGATTTCCTGACTGTGCAAAGCAACGGAGTGTCCCTGCTTTGCTCGCGGAAAACTTTCCAGTTAGTGCGAAAGTTCTTTAACTGTGAGAATGCCGAAAGATATTGATCACAATTCTAGAGAAGCCAAATTTAATCAAGTACCTCATGATAGATTACAACGATGGGACGAGAGCTCGGATCTGTGATGAGCACATCCGTTGCACTGAAGGTCGGGCGCTTCACTTTGAGCAAAAGCCTCCCATTGAGATCTGTCACAGTATCACTGCTCCAAGTATTTCTTTCATACACGAGCTGTAGCTGTTCTTGAGCAGAGCGAAACTGATCTCCCACGACTGCTGCCATTTTGCGATTCTTCGGTGCATACGTGTTGCTCTTATAAAGACATGGACTAGAGGAGACGTGATGGAACAGAATGCTTACCTCACAAAACACTCTCTACTTTTTCTTGCTTGCAAAAAATGTTTTTTATCATACTTAATGAGAAATTGCCAAGGAAAATGCTGGCAGGCTTAATAGAAGTTCTCAAAGTTTAAATCTGGCTACGTTAGGCAAGACCAAAAAATTCAAAGGAAGCATCCAGCGCCTCACCATGCTCAAAGTTCCCCATGACCATTCCCAGCGTGTTTCTATTGCTTGCCACTCTTTCTTCCTTGGACGACTTGGTGAGCAATTGGTTGTTTTTGTTGTTTGTATAGAATTTCTTCTCTTTTTCCTTACAGGGTTTGTATTTGGACCCTGTCATGCACAGGCCGCAGCAGAACATCATATAGCATAAACACTAAGTGCAAAGCTTACTTCCTAGCAGACACATAGAGATCGAAAGGAAGATCCTTAAGTGGCTTCGCCTAAACCTTTGTGAATTCGTGGGTTGCTCCAAAATGACATTCCTGGCATCCTCATGAGACCCACGTTTAGAATTATTTTTTACTCAAATAATACAAACTACTATTAATTCCCTTTTGTAAACATCATTTGTTAGCTTAATATTGCATATATTCCACCCCAGATCGTTCTTGGCTGGATCAAAAACTGCAGCAGAAGCAAGGAGCGCTGAGCTTGTCGACTTTTCATCGACTCTGTGGATTGGGCTTGTGCAGTGGCACATGTAAGCTTACGTTAAACCTCTATTGATGATTGGCTTAGCACTCTTGAGTTATAACGTCCAGAAGCAGAAGTACGCATTGACAAGTGGTATCACAACAGCCATCTATAGCTAAGTGTTTACAAAACCCATAGCCACATGATTCCCACCCTTGCTTTTAATCTCGTTGGGCCATCTCCACTCAAATTGGATACAGAAAAGCTATGAACAAATGTGCTTGCTAGAGCCGTGCAACTGCTTTAGTCTCCATTGGCAACGTTGGACTTTGATCATGGAGCTACACACTCCAGAACTGCTGCTGAGTTTTGCAAATTGCTCATCATGTGGAATTGCTCATAAAGAAGAAAAATGCCCGCGGAATTTGGACTAGTTCCTGGTTTACTACCATTCTCTCCGGCCGGTCGAGATCCCGCCCTGTGATAAGAACCCTAACCCATGCTCGAATGTCAAAACTCCAGGCGAGCATGTCCAGGGCCCAGATCCTCTAGCGTGTGGCCCACAATCCCAGCACTTGGAGCAATCCTCACCAATTGCGCGGTTTAACACCCGATCCTCCGTTCCATGCACAGAATAAATCATTCCTGCATACCACCCGGCTTGCCATTCCCATCCCCATCCCCAGCACGATCACCTGTTGCACCCCCGCTTCGAAGCCCAGCCGTACTTCTCACTCCGCAAGAGATGACATTCCTCGAGGCAAGCCTTGGATAAGAAGCGCGCTCCAGCTGAGACTCGGCGGCTTACGTCAGTTCTGTAGTGAAGATGTTGACGAAATTCGCGACGAAGTTTGTCTCGGACAAAACAGTGAAGAAAGATGTAATATAAAAGAAAAAATTTCAACCTTTATAGAAAATTTTAATGGCCAAACCACGAGCCTCCAAGATTTCAAACATCTGTAAATCTTGTGTAAATCATTTAAGTTCACCACAAGCTTGACGATCTTGAAGTAAACTTTTGACCGGAGTATAAGGTGCCTCAGACGTGTTTTCTCTTAAATAGATGGTAAGTCCCTCATCCTTGACGTGTGCATGGCACGGTTAAGGTGCAAAAAGATTATAAGATGTTACATACAATTTCATTTCAAGGAAAACTGACCCAATTCTAGCGTTGACTAGTGGTGCTAGCATGCTAGGCTCATATCCTCGTTGGTTCTAGCATAAAGGTGTAGTTTTGTGATTGCTTGTGTGAGCTTGCACACTTAATCAGCTCATCTGGGCTCCATTGTCCACATATAGCTTTGTCACAACATTTGTTTAGACTGCATGGACCATATAAGACGAGGGCACGCAAGTTCTATGAGCGTGCTCAACCTGCTGGTTATCGGCCAATGTCCCACAATGAGGTTTGGAGCATCCACAATCACTTCAGACATATGCTTCCCAACAAACGCGAATACTGTGAGGCTTGCACTCTGCAAGACTCTAAGAACAGGCATACCATGGGCGCATTTGGTGATGAGAATCTCCAGCCTTGGGCATGCTGCTAGAAGTGCCTCGAGCAATGCAGTGGGCAAAATGAAAGCGACTTTGCAGGCTCCTGAATGGAGATAATTTATTAAAAGGCTCCTTGAAGATCTTGCTGCTGTGAAAGCTCCCATATATCTGGAGTGTTTTAAAGCACTATGCAAAACCCCACACCATTGGTCCTCACCAAATTGCTGTGCAAGATACAGAAGTGTGAGAGGACCGGCATGTACAAGCTAGTAGCCCATAGCTTCCATCTCAACTTGGGGGTTCAGCACCACCTAGAGCCTGTAACATTTTCAATCCCACAAGATGAAATCCCTTTAATCTAGAATTTATCTGGCCAAGGAGACATGTGAATTTGTGAGCCTTGCCAGAAGCTGGAACAAGCCACTCGCTTTGAAGCTTGGCAACCATGGATGCAAAAAAAAGGTGGGCAAACATCACTAGCATGAAGAGGACTTATCAAACAAAAGATTGGAACCTACTACCTCAGAAATAGTGGGCAAACAATGAGGTCTTTGAGACAAGGAACTTGCTATGTCTGCCTTGAAATGTTGATTGCAGAGGACAGTAGTCAAAGAGGTGGAAGAGGTGGAAGCCATTGGTGAGAGTCTGGTGGCAACACTCATCCAAGCAGACCATATTTACAAAAGTTCATTCTATACACACATTTTCTTATTTATATTATTCATGGAATAGTAGTAGTGTCAAGAGATTTACCTAAAGTAGTAAATGTCTTTTGTGCATTAGGGTTAAATTTTTCATCCACGGTGATTTTCTATACCTCATTGCAGTACTTATCCACAACTTAGACTTTCCCTCGCTACCATAATCTTATGATTCAGCTAAAAAGATAAAGATCTAGTCTCCCTATACTATACTATGCTTCCTCTTAAGGTTCCTCACCACCTAACCACCCTTAATCTACTTCAAAAGCTGCTGCGGTTAAATTCTTTACCCTAATATACCTTAATATTCCTTTTGACCCACGATGACCATATGGTTAAGCTGGCATCTAACAATTCTTCCCCCTCAACAAAGTCTTTATCCCAAGGACAAATTATACTGGTGATCACCCTTTGTAGGGAACCTTATTTAAGCTCTTGGTCCATAAAGAGGCCTTTCACTCTGAGATTTAATTGGCTAATATAAGATACTAGATGAATTTTCACCCCAATTGGCAATTGCACTCGATAAGTTGTTTTACCCACTCTAGCACTTCATATGGACCAACATATTAATGAGAAAGTTTATCACTCTTCTCATTCTATAAAGGTACCAAGGTGTTTTACCACTCATTTGACGGAAAGATCACTTACACAAATATGAGATCACCCACTTTATATTCCTAGAATTTGCAATACTCATTAACAATCTTCTCTACTCTATCCTAAGCATTTGCAAATTTCATTTACGCACCACCAAAATCTCATCAAGTTTTGTGGCCAGATTAGTTGCCTTGAAATCAAGTTTATCTTGAATATCCTTACTCAAATACAATCATAACTCCACATGCTTTCCAAATATGGTAAAGTAAGGATTTAACTTGGTTCCACTATATTGGCTATTATTACAAGAAAATTGCACTAACAAACTACCTTTGACTAATGCTACAATGTAGTATATCCTCCACCACATGATTCACACACTCAATTTGCCCATTTGTCTAAAGATGATCTTCATCCAAGAGTTTCAAATATCACTTGCATAACCTTTGTAAAGCTCTTCCAAATTCCATTAGTGAACTTTGAGTTTTGATTATTAACAATATCCTTCAGCAAACCAAAATCAAGAAAAACTTTCTTCAAGTAGATCACAACCAAGTATGAGATAATAATAGTCTTTTGAAAAGCCAACAACCACACATACTTCATCAAATAATCCATACTTACTCCTTTTGACCTTATGTTTGTGCCAAATAAGTGATGAAGTCCATAGAGATACTACACCAATAGCTCTAAGGAATAGGTAAAGGTGTAAGAAATTAATTTTTCCATTCTACTTTATTCACTTAACCACACATTTAACCATTTAGAGCAACCTTGCTTATGAATTCCATAAGCTTTATTCTTTACTTGGGGACATGCTAGCCCCATGAATAGCATCTATGCCACTTAACTTTTGCACTTGGTCCAAGTGCTCCACATGTCCAACCCCATGACTGACACCTAAAGGTACCACTGACATATCAATCCATTATGCTAAGGCCATGCCCATTTACCCTTTTGTCACATTGGTACTCTAAGACCACCTTCATCACAATCCCATTTTTCAAAGACTGGGCCATCCATTTATGAGTGGTCATCCTTTGACCACACCTTAGCACCCTTAGGATGCCCGGAGACATAAGGAACACCCTTCCTCAATGTTCCTTCTTTCATTCCCACCAAGTTTTTCTCCATCTATGGCTTTACTCAACAATACCACTACTAGGTCAAGACCCAAAAGCCCAACCATTAAGTCTTATTGACTTCTAAAACTTCCTCACCATATGACCGTATCCTTGGTCACTACACTAGAGGATTAATCCTCTTCCTTTCTATAGTCTAAGAGTTTGGGATAACATTTTAAAACACCATGGCCCTACGCGAGTCTCGTGGGTACTCTCCCCATCTTCTACATTTAGGTGCCCTAGCCATGTGGCTAGAGCGAGGTTTCGATGAGCCATGCCAAGTATCCAAGTAAATAGTGCCACCCACACTTAGATTGGGAGCATTGACTATTTGATTTCCCGAAGGAACTAGAGTCGGTTTTTGAACACTTTACTAAGCTAC